AAAAATATGTAAATAAGCGGTAGCGCGGTTCGAAGTTATATAAATAAAAACTTTGCCCAGCATTCCCGCTTAAGCGTGTTTCCGCCCCGCGACACCGCATTTTTACTTATCAATTTTCGACTTTAAGCTTGGCGAGGTCGCGGAGGAAAGACACGAATAGCACAAATCAGCCACCATAGATATGCATTTAATGCTTAGGCATAACACTATTATTATCAGATATCTAAACTGCATCAAGGTCTTTATATAATCACATCATATACATTAAATATTGACATCAGAGTCTTTCAAATAGAAATATTGTGAAAAAGGTTACTTTTGTCGGCGGCGTAAGCGTCGTTGTCGGCGTCCCCAAGGCTTGTCCGGAGCATAATTTAGTCACTATCTATTAGTTGAATAGACACCAAACTTGATATGCATGCTTCTTTCAATTATCCGAAGTGCAGTGCACAAAAACTGGTACTCTGCACTTCTTAATTTTTGAGTTATTGCCCTTTGTTAATTTTCATACTTTAATTTTGTCCGAGCCAAATCTCCTAAACTTTAAAAGCTATGGACTTGATGATATATCTCATAAAGAAAAAGTGCAGTGCACAAGAACCGTTACTTTGCACTTCTTATTTTTTGAGTTATTGCCCTTTGTTAATTTTCATACGTCCCGGCCATTTCTCTTAAATCATAAAAGCTAATGACTTGAAACTTATTAGGATGATATTTCTCATAAAAAATTTGCAGTGCACCAGAACCGGTACTCTGAACTTCTTATTTTCTGAGTTATTACCCTTTGTTAATATGCATACTTTAATTTTGTCCGGGCCAGTTTTCCTAAACGACTCGAAACTTCATAAGATGATAGATCCTATTAAGAAGAAGAGCAGTGCATCAAGAACCGGTACTCTTGTTATGTATGCAACATATTACATGTATATAATTTATATCTGACCAGTTGGTATTTCCAATATTATCATTGTTCTATTTTTAGAACATTAACTACATGCATGTCAACAAGAAGTTTCTTACCTGTTGTAGAAAATACTAGATTATGATTCATGCATTATATTTAGATAGAAATTTCCGGAATGCTCTTTATTGTTGAAGTTGCTAGATTGTGATTACTGTAGAAGATAATAGACTTTTCTGGAATTTTCTTAGTTAATATATATAAAGGGACATTTTTCATTACCTTTACCTTTTAAGTCATCAGTGATCTTTTAAGTCATCAGTGATCTTTTAAGTCATCAGTTACTTTTTAAGTCATTAATACATTTAGAGTATTATTCAACTTGCATATTAAGTGAATTATTGGAGCTTGGATTTTAAAATAAATTATTCTTGTAGATTTTATTGTGGGAATTTATTCTAAAGTGTTCTTGGATTTAACTTGGATTTAACTGTGCTATTCAAAAAGGATCATTCCAGGATCAGACTAGACATTTGTAATTTACATTTTTTATTTGGACTTTAGGTATTTGTAACAATAATTTGTTATTTAATTTTTCTTTAATAATTTTTCTGTAATAAATTTGTAATATTGTTACAAGTTTGTTGCTGGCTTTTCTTTCTCGTTACGCCTGGCTCGGTACACTCTGCACTTCTTAATTTTTAAGTTATTGTCCTTTGTTAATTTTCATAATTTAGTTTTTTCCGGACCCTTTCTCCTAAACTGTAAAAGCTATGGACTTGAAACTTCATAGGATGATAGGTCTCACTGAGGAAAAGTGCAGTGCACAAAAATTGGTACTCTGCACATCTTATTTTTGAGTTATTGCCCTTTGTTAATTTTTATACTTTATTTTTGTCCGGGCCATTTCTCGTAAATTATAAACGCTATGGACTTGAAATTTAATAGAGTGATATATCTCATTAAGTAGTGAAGTATACAAGAACCGTACACTGTACTATTTATGATTTGAGTTATTGCCCTTTGTTAATTTTCACACTTTATTTTTGCCCAGGCCATTTCTCCTTAAACAATTAAAGCCATTGACTTCAAACTACATTGGATGATAGATCTCATTAAGAAGAAGTGCAGTGCACAAGAACTGGTACTCTGCCCTTCTTTTTTTGAATTATTGCCCTTTGTTTGTGTTCATACTTTATTTTTGTCCGGGCCATTTCTCATAAACTATGAAAGCTATGGATTTGAATATTCAAAGAATGATATATTTCATTATGAAGAAGTGCAGAGCAGAAGGACTGGTACTCTGCACCTCTTCTTTTTTTGAGTTATTGCCCTTTAGCGGTGTTTATAAATAATCTATATTTAAGAAGAAAATGCCTAACTGAAAACTATACTGCTCACAAGGCGACACATCCGACTCGCAGAATTCTAGCTGTCTAGAAATATGATTTGATTTAAGACATTGTAGCAGTACTAAATTTGATCTCTTTTGTATGAGGGGAAGAAGCTTGCATAAACTTAATTGTTTCCTAATCGGTGAGTTTCATTTCGGCTAGCCTGAAAATATTTAGAATATTACAATATTTATTACAATACCACAGGGGCATTTTCATCTTCTGGGTGTAATCAGAAATTAAAGCGTGTTCTCCTCAGTGACATTAAACACCAACCTAATCATAGGATTGGGCGGACTGTACCAAGACATAGACAGATTGAAGATCGAGACATGGTGGACAGTATGTTGCGGCAGGGCAGACCGAGGTGTTAAGATCCACCATCAGTAAGGAAGTGTTCCCTGTCCCTGCACTTTTACTACAATTGTTTGTTTAGAGCAAAGGTCCCGGGATCTTCTTACCGAGTCTCTATCTATAAATTACAAACATGCTTCGGCGCTTTCCGACAATTATTGTGTGATTATCAGGTTAGTACAAAAGACCGATGGTTGTGAATTATACGGTTTAATTACAAAAAAAAATCAATATTTCATGTTAGGTAACATGTGTCAATCTCAATGAATCTTCAAGTGTATGACAGGAAACATTTTATCAAAATGATAAAATAGTCAATATTTTCATAAAGGTATTAGATGCCTAATTCAGAACCTCCTTTCTAAAGAGTACTTATTTTCTGTGAGGTTATAGAGTGTCAAGGGGTTGGGTTTAAAGTCTTCTCCTTTGGGCCAACTTTATTTTTTTTCTATTCTGTTTGTCTATATTTATATATTCTAGTTTCATATAACTATAAGCAATTTGCAATTCTACGTTAAATAAATGAAAATAGGGTAGTTGTACAATGAAGTGTTAATATTTCAGACCAGCCTTCATAGAATTGATATTTCAGGTTATCCCTCATAGTGTTAATTTTTCAGACCAGCCCTTATAGGGTTAATATTTCAGGCTACCTCTCATAGTGTTAATATCCTAGGCTATCCCTCTTAGTGTTGATATTTTAGGCCATTCCTCAGAGTGTTAATATTTCAGGCTATCCCTCATAGTGTTAATATTTCAGATCATCACTCACAGAATTAATATTTCAGGTCATCTCTCATATAGTTTTAAATATTCCTGGCAATCCCTCATAGTTTAAATATCCCTGGCCATTCATCAAAGTGTTAATATTTCAGACTATCCCTCATAGTGTTGATATTTCAGGCCATCACTCACAGTGTTAATATTTGTTGTCATCTCTCATATTTTAGGTCATCCTTCATAGTGTTAATATTTCAGGCCATCCCTCTAAGCCAGTGCATTCCTGACAATCTTGTGCACCCCTCTCCACCCAATCTATCAACATAAAGACTGAAGTGAAGTTGAATAACTGGTCATGTCAACTCCCTTTATCTAATGTGTAGTGCCTAATATTACTGGCCAGCCAATGATCTTTCTATTGGAAAAAAACTATTAAAAAACATATTTCAGTCAATGCCAATATCTGAAACCTTCCAGCATTATGTGAAAGCCTACATTGCATACCTAGACAAACCCAATGCACTTCCAATCTTTCCCATTAGAAAAATAGAGATACAAAAACAAATAGAAACAAAGTTTATGTAGAATTGATAAGCTGATATTATAAATAATTATCGTGAGGAATTAATTCTTCTTAAAGGGTTTTATATGGATGGTACATCTCCCCAAGGTATTGCACAAATGTTCATAATTTTATATTAAAATATTACAAATATGACCGGTTTTCCTAACCCAACCTCTTTCTGTTTTATCCAGACATACACCTGTTTCAAAAAACCAAAAAGATTTCTTTCTTCATATTTCAAAACTATGGTTTTTATCATCACTTCTAAAATTTCATTAAGATGAAAAAGATTAAGCTCTTCTTTACCTGATGAAAATATATATATTTTTTTTTTTTTTTTTTTTTTTTTTTTTTTCAAACATGTCAGTTATACATCTTATACCCTAATTTATATTCCTATTGCAGGAGTGACATCAATAGTATCAAATGAATGCACTTGAATATAGAAACTAGTTACCGCGAGCTAGATATTCCGGTCTGTACCGGCAGCCAGTGTAAGATTCTTATAATCTTACATCTGTTAAATATATCAAACTCTGTTTAATGAACTTACTGCTTCTAGTCATGTCAAAATTACTGTTTACTGGTTGGGATAACTTTTGTTAAGTTAAAGATTTGTTTAGTTATTGACAATAAAAAGAGAGCATTGCATAAAACCCTTCCAAAATTCAATATATAAAGTAGTTTTATGTGACACCTTAAACTTTGGTACACTTTAATTGGTATTTTTAAAGAAAAAAAGTACCAAAATTGTCGCTTTTTAGCACAAAAGGGGTGGTTAAAATTCTATGCATTTACGAAGTTTTTTTTGTCAGCACAAATCGATATGCAGAATTATGGAACGAGTGTCCAGAAATATTTGATTATGTTCATTTATAAAGGTTGGCTTCAAATGTAAAAGAATATGTTGCATTTCAAAGAGACACTGTTATGATTTTAGGCTTCTGCGTGTTAAAAGAAATCATGAAATAAAACAAAATCAGGTCTAGTTTATGAAAAGATTATTAAAACATACTGTATTTTTGTTGTGAAATATATTCATATAAATCATTTTGTACTTTTCCAGATCCATTGTGATACTGCTAAATCTACAACACTGCGATATTTAAATATGGGAGATCTGCTGGGAAATCTACCGGAAAATCTGCCTGAAAATTTGGGGCAAACAACTGGACTACAAAACAATCTTACCGATTATCCATGGCGACATGTTCCCATTTGGGACGGTGATGTAGTACCTTTATGATGATCTTATAATGCGATCTTGTAATCAAGCTGTATTGATACAGCAATGCCTATTGTAAAATAGCCATAAACATAACGGACATATTGTTGTGTTATTTTGAAAATATCGTATTTCTGTTTAGCATATCAGTTCACCAATTAATGTAATTGATTAATTTTGCTCAACCCGAAAAAAGCTTTAAATAAAATACTTTGTGGTTACCTTATAAAAGTCTTAGATACAATTGACATTTCAATGTGATGATAAAATATTTATTCAAATATGAAGGAAACCATGTTATACCAAGATAAAATGATATGTGTCAATTCGCCAGGTAGTTGGTGGTTGGATATTAGATAACAAATGTCTTCAAGCTGGTAGTTGGTTATTCGTCATTCCCAACTATTTCACAGCTGGTGATAGTGGATTGAATTACCAGCTGTTAAATATTTCGAAATAACTAATAACAAACTATCAGCGAGTAGGTATTTCGTTTTTCGAATATCCAACTACCTACAAAATTGACGCTCAAGATAAACAAATAGAAAACCATCCACTGGAAGTAAAACTTTTGGAACAATTTGTGTTAAACAAATATATCTAGTAGGAAAATATAAATTACAAATTCTGAAATACAAAGAAAAAATATCGTTTTCTATTATAATCATGTTATATATGACACTCACAAAAAGCAAATAAAGGACTAAAAGGTTTTTAATACTTTAGATATAGAACAGATTTTCTTATAATAAGAACAAGGATGAAACCTGTTATAACTGTTTGAAGTGAAAAAGAAATAAACGATTATTTAAACAAAATAAATCCTTGACCTTCCAGCACGATTTTGCAGTTTTGTTTAGCATGTAAGGAATTGATTGGATTGTATTCAGATTTAAACAATTGACAAACGTCGAAGTTTGGAAGATCTTATTGTATTATCGATTGCTTCGCATGAAAAGTCATTACATTGAATAGATTACAATTTTAGTCGATGCAAATATCAGTGTACTGCTTTGAAAAGAAATAACTTATGCAAATGTAATTATAAAAGGTCACACGGATTGCTTTGATATCAAAATTCACAACCTAGATGTTTGCTACAAAATATATTTAAAGGATCTTTTGGAAAATTTTTGTTCCAAATATAGGATACAAGAAAATAGACTGACAAAAAAATTTTTTCAAAGGGCCGGGGTAGTTGAATGCGGGCGTTTGTTACTACGTTTTAATTGATACTAAAAAATCTGACAGTGGACAATATATTTATTCTACTGTTTGTAAAGCCAAATATGTTTCGTATAGTTGAAAACGTAGTAATTCACATTCCTTTAATAATTTCAGCTTGAAAATAGGCTTATTATAGAAGTTAAGGAAGAGCATTCGAACAGTCGTCAACATGTCTTGATTCTAGGTCCAGTGGGAGCAGGAAAAACCAGTTTTATCAAGCGAATATTAAGCCTTTTTCAAAGATACAGATGTTCATTTTCGATGGACGCCGCAGATAGCTTGAGAGTAAGACATGTTGTCGCCATGTTGTATGAAATGTAATTTATAAATGCATCAATGAAAATTTGTTTTACACTTTCTCGAGTGTGTATAAAATAATTATACTTCTGTAACAATTATCAATAAGAAATGTTAAGTTAACGAAAGCCATTTGATCCAATTTATAATAAGACGGGAAGCAGTCAAATATTTACATTTTAATTTATACCTATGTAACGAAGTAAAGTTGACTTCATAAAATCATGTGTCCTGTTGACTTTTTTCAGAAATCCCCTCGTCATGTTATAGTTTCAAGTTGAGTTCCAGATACTTCAGCATTTGAAAGTTTTATTACTTGTTCTTCTGTGGCTTGTAAAATTATATTTTGATAATTTTCTGTGACATAATATAATAATAATTTTCATAGTAGCCGGTCTATATGTGAATGCGGATGACAAAAAATATATATTTATCCGGTTGAAAAAGCGTCAGAAGTACATTTTTTACAAAAAGTTTTTTTCCAATAAGAACAATGTGACGTCAAGAGTTGATGTCGTCATGAACGTGAAAATCGGTTAAAATGTCCTTAATCTCCTAAAACCATATATTTAATAGAAAATCTGTATGTAAGATCAAAATTAATTTCACTTCTGAACACCAGCTGTTATATTTCCACTCGTGGTTATGTCACCTGTTAATATATTATATCTTGTGTTTACTGTGTGAAATATCTTACATGTACATGCAAACATCCTCTATATTTCGAAGAATTTATCTATCGAGAAGTGTATCTACATACATATCTCATGGAACTTGAGATGAAAGTAGTATCGCTATTGTAATAGGGCACATTTGTTCAGTTCAGTTATCTAGTTCATTATGTAGATTGGTATTTTTAATTTGGTAAATTTACTTGACTTGCATGAATTACAAATTGAATGCACAAATGTAATAAATGTAATTAAAAAATTGACTTTCGATATAAGAATCCATAAAAAAGGTAAATTCAAAAGGTGTTGCCCTTAGAAATAAATTAAATTGAAAGAGGCATACCATTTTTAGATAATTAACCCTTGTTTCCTATTTGTGTTCTTCTTACATACACTCTCTTGTGTTGCCAAAATTGATGCCTTTTCTGTTGAACAGTTCAAGTATCATTTGCTTGGCGAAATCATTTTCCAGCAGGAGACACTTTTGTGTAAAAAATAATTTTCCAACAGAATGCTAACAGGGGCACTTTTTGTCGAGTCCAATTGCTTCGTTTCAATGAGTCTGCAATAAAAAAAAATGGCTTTTTGATTTTGAAGCTTTTTTATATTGTTTTGTTTCATTGGGAATAACACATGCGTAATGTCATAATATTGTATAGAGTGCTTAACGTTAATAAAGAAAATAATATTTCCAATTTGTTTTAAACAGTTTACAGAAGATCAGAAGGACATAGTATTTTGTTCACCTGATGAGCCATACATTGGAGAAGGGATAAACATACTGGATTCAGAGATATTAGTCAACAGTGATATCCATCAAGAATACTTGGCAAGTACAAACACATTCCAATCATTAAACAAAAAAAACACCTTTAATTAATGCACTCGGGCATATAGTATTTGCACCGTCTGTACGCTAGTCTTCCCATATGAGGTTAACCTAAACCGGCAAATTGGATTTATCTAAAATTCTATTTGTATAAATAGCTTCATTATTTACACACTTTCTGATAAATATAAAGTACACCACCTTTGCAAGTTACATAAACTATAGTTTCCATTTTATCCAGGTTATTTCTCTTTAAACACTGAAAATACGTATAAATTAAAAACATGCTAGTTAAAAAAATTTCATATCTCAAGCCTGTATTGACAGCTTCATATCATACACACTACTTATCAATTATAAGTACATGATATTACTTGGTTAAAGATTTCCCAGTTTTTTTTCCTATAATTGGATAATAACACTCGGTATATTCAACATATTCCAGCACGATAGATATATTCTTAATCGAGTCTAGCAGCTTTATACGCGTTTACTGATATCATCTTTATTTGTTGGATAGATAATTTAAGTTCCTTCTAACTGTTGGCAAAACTTGGGATCACTAGGATTTAGGTCGAAGTCGCTTGTGTAAAAAACTAAATTCACAACTGAGATATAATTTATATTTTATTGGAAACTTGAATATTTGTACAACTTAATCAAATGGCCATGACATGCCAATTTTTATTTTTGCAATCATAAAAGTCACGACTCTGTTAGATAACTATGTTAACTATATTTTAAGAAAGCTTTCCTTCCATAACTGAGTGAATGGGTAGACGTTTCGGAAAGTTGTTACTGGCAAGAATCTGAACGGGGGGATTTGTGTTTACAAATATCGTTTTTGTTTACAATATCATATGTTGTCGTTAAAAAGACTACAGCTAATAAATTTATACCAATAAAAGTTTTAGAAAGTATTTCATTTATCTTCGACCATTGCAGTGTAAATTCAGTATGTCGATCTATTTCACTTATACGTATTTTTATTTGTTATTACCTTTCCTTGCTGGCTTTTTTAAGGACCAGTTTACATAACAAAAAAATTGCTTAGCTCTGTAACTATGAAATAAATCTTGTGTTTATCACTATTACAGAGACGATTAATTTACTTTATATATACAGATAATTAAAAAGTAAGCCTTTAAAGTTAATTTTAAGAAGCTTTATACATTAAGCGACTTTTGTGTGGTTGTGTATGGGTCATTTTGGAGATATGATTTTGTTTAGTAATTGTCATATTTAATTTAACATTCTAGTTCAATCCAATTTTCGAAATGGTTTCGTACCCAAACAGACACAAATACAGAACTGTTGGATGCAGGATACATTGTGTTATTTTCATCGTTAGTGCAACAGAGGCTATAGCTGATGTCCCGGAGAATATACAAATAAAACAACTGCTACAAAAACTGAGGCAAACTCGTAGGATTTTCTTTAATAAAATAAATTTGTTATTGCTTAATTATTATGTTTCTAATCATTTGTAATTAAGTTAGTGATCAGCCAGTATTGGACAAAATCATTCGTTTTGATGTAACATATCTTGTATTTGTTAATTTTAAATGGTTGATTCACGTAAATAGAAATTATACTGACACACACTGGTTAGTCCAATTAGTGGTGTAAGTTATATAGTCATGGTATAAAGGTAACAAATAATTACCGTGTCATTACAAGTCATTATCCTCCCACACGCTTGTGTGTAACTGATATACTTGAAAAAATATTTTTCAATCAATTTAAAACAAATTCGCATTTGCTTTTAAATGTGTGAATATTAAAAGGCATATCACTAAAACAATATACATTTGTACTAACAATACAATATCTTGTTTTCTAAAGTCCTAACATTTTGAAGATTTCTAGTTTTTGCGTGGATAATGTTATACAAATTGTGCCAAACAATGCTGTTATAAGTGAACACATGAATATTGAATAGACACAATACAAGGGTTGGCATGGATGAACACCTGCCAATCTGTTTACTGATTCGATAACAAATATGCACTACTCAATCATAACATAATATACGGCTATTCTGATTAAGTAATGCACTTTATATGTTCTATAGGTATTCCCGTGGTTTTGGTTTTGACAAAGGTCGATATATTATGTGAAGAAGTTGGGAAAGATGTAACAAAAATGTTTCGAAGTAAGAAAATTCAAGAGGTCATTAAAACAGCAAGCGAAATGTTTGAGGTCGAGAAGGATTTAATTTATCCGGTCGTGAACTGTGTGAATGTTTCGGAAAAGCGTACTGAGATAAATATCCCGCTCTTACTGGCACTCAGACAGTCGTTGTACCTTGCATCAAAATATTTAGAGTATTTAGGAATAAAAAGGGATGACGATGATGTTTCTCTTAAAGGTAATAAAACAGATTAATCCAACATACTTTTCAAAAGACAATTTTAGTTTTTCGCTTGGCATTTAAAGGGTTAACGGTTTTGTACCGACCTTTCTAAATAAACCTTCACAGTCTGCGTCAATATAGTAATTATTTGCACTAGAATAGCATGGTATTGTTTGATACACATCCGTTTTAATGATAGGTCTTCAACTTTGATAACATTAAACAAATGTTAGAGTTAAACATATAAAGTAAAATAAGTGTTGTTATAAAGAAAATATACAGAATGATTCTCTTTAGCATTATAAATGAGTGAAAACACGGATTGCAATCAAATTTATATGTATCATTAGCTAATTTACTATGTTCATCCTTGAGTAGCATATTTTAATAAAAGAAATGTATATATGTATTTATAAAGTCCTTACTGAATATGTCTAATTTGAATAAAAATGAATAAGCAATCTATTGGAAGGCACGCTCCCGTTTACAGGACATGTACAGGACATGTAAAGTTGATCTTTTCTTTAAAAAAAACTGCCTGATTTTTTCAATGACACAACATATTGATATTTTGACCACATAAAGTATGTAGTGTTTAAAACGTGACATAAATATTTGTGCCAAGTCAAAACATGTTTATTCTATATTAGCCAAAAGACTGTGCAGCAGTTATCAATATTTCATGAATAAAATATATTTAAAGAAAATTATAAAAACATGCATGTGCATTATTAAACTAATTTTACCCGTGACAAGATAAATTCATTGACTGGAATTAAAAATCTTTTTAGAAAGTTTGTATAAGACATTAGAAATCAAAAGTACATCATGCTTGTCGGTATATTAGAGACAAATTGTTACATAGTCATTCCAAATGATTTCGTTATAGTATTTAGAAGCTATATATCTAGCTTACAAAAGGTCGAAGGTATTTCTTACATATGTGCCGACTCAAACCTGAAATAATTAATGCAAGGATTCTCCTTCACCCAAATGCTTACAAAACACCTAACATGTCAGTGCCGTTGTGATAATTATAGCTTACACAATCAATATATTTTAAGGTTACGGTATATGAAATCAGTAGCCTCTAAATTTTTTTTAAATGCTGAAATGCTACCCTTATGAAAGGTTTATCATATTTTCAATGCTAAGGAAGCCTGTAATTTTGAATATTATATTCAGTATACTTTCACTTCTGATTTCAATTATCATTTAAGTTATATTGACTTTTTGTTTAGACAGTAGAACATTTAGAACAATGTTATGTTAAGTATAATAAAATTCTTTATTTAAAAAAAATTATAACAAATATCATTAATTTTAACTGTACCTTTACAACGGATGCTATTGATAACATGTTAGGAATATCAAATTTAATTGTTTTGTCATGAAACTTGACACAGTAAGGCGTCGAATGCTTGGTTTAACGATAAACCTTTGTTTTGTCATGTTTGTGACCCTGATAAAGTAAGATATTACAAAAATTTTAAAGCTTAACATATAGCACCAATATATTTGTAGAAAAATATCATTACAAGGAATATTAAGATTTACAAAATTCCAAAAGTTATATTCCATCGAAATACTTTTTCATAATACAGAATGAAACTTCTCAAATAAATAAACTTCAGTAAATAATCGTTGAGTTCAAGTGCAGTAATTCAATAGTCAATCCTTTCTATATAATTTACAAAATTGACTTATATTAATAAACAACTATTTACATAGACTGAAATGTAGATACATATTTTCTATCATATATTAAACTGTAAAAGTAAAATGGAAATCAAACAATTAATAAAATGAAGGAATTGAAAAATATTTTCTAAAATCGTCATTGCGACTGAAGATATTGATTACTATATCTTTAAAACAAACAAAATATTTACATTTATTTTATAACAAATAATCCACAGAGATGAGAGACAACAAGCTGACAACAGATTCGATTTCATCTGCAATCAAAAGAGGTATGTCTTGTTTGATAATAGCATATTCGGTATTGACATTAGCTTTTGAAACTTATATTGACAACAATGTACTACTTTGCTTGGTAAAGAACTAACATAATTTTATAATAGCAGTTCATACAAATGTTACACATGAATTTTATCACGAATATAAAAGAATAAATAACAACTTTAAGTACTTTTTAAAATGATTCTGTGAGTATATTTCAAACAGTAACAATTGTACATTTGGAGGCATGCAGCTTTAAGGTGACAACAGACACTTTCCGTGGTACTCACATAAATGTCATTTAAACCAACTTATTTTAGTAATAATTGTTATTTATTTAATCGTTGTGCATTAAATGTCGCTGATCATCATAAAAATTAACATATTTGAGAAAAATGCCTTTGTAAATGATTGATTTTTAATAAAAATCCTAAAATTTTAAATCGTCATATCAAAGTCATTTTTTATTTTTTTGTTATCAAACTTTTGGAAAATAAACATACTTATAATATCTGGGGAACCATGTCTCAAATTTTTTCTATCTTTTCTCAAAAAAATATTACGTAACGTCAAACAATTTATGCGACTTTTTTCACCATACATATTACGTAATTAAAGATAATTAAGTCGCTAATTGAGCAATCAAAAATCCCTGACACGGTTCCCTCCGTAAATGAATCCCTTTCATGTGCTTTAAACCGCATGTTAATTGCTTGATTATTAAAAAAGTTATGCCCATTCAAAGTTAGTCCGACCCGCATCAAACGAAGTGTGATAAATCGGCTGCTCTCTCTCGGACCCCTACGTTTCACGCTAAAAAATTGCATAATACACAAATATCGCACCAGAGAGGGTCACAGGTTGCGGTAACATACTCGAACAACATTTTATGATCCAGTGACATCTGACCAATTAAAAAGTTGCTGTTTAATATCAGTATATAACAGAAATTTCTTCAAATCTTAACGTGATTTACTGTCCGTCTGGTATCGGTCGCACATGTCACGTGACTTTCGGTAAAATTTGAGGCACTCGGTGGGGGGAAATGGAACGTATTTGCGCACCGCTAGCGGGGTATTTAATTGTTTCACTTTATTATCATCAGCATTATTATTATATTATACCAGTGTCACTCTGTCTGTGTATTCGTGTATGAAATTCCGTTAAAATATAAATTAAAATAACAAAAAACTGAGCTTCTGGCGGTATTTTAAAGGCCATGGTAGATGAACAAATAAGAACGGGACATTATATATTTTTTTCCTCCAAATTGATATAAATGCTTCACATATTTTAATAGAAATAAAAGGTATCACTCGATCATTATGATCTGACCTTCTTGACTTCTATTATCATGAAAATCATCTATGCACGGCATAGATATCCAGTTTCTACTGGGATATACAATAAATTCCATACTTTGTCCCAGGTTTATTAGAACTGTGTTCGATTTACTGGCGAACAATTTATTCAAAGCATTCACTGATAATATATATTAATATATTTTTTATTGATTCATAGAGAAATTATCATCCTTAAACAATCTAAAATGGTTTAGAAATTTGTCAGGGACACCTTATAGGCGTTCACATAAAAATATTGTCTGCTTTTGTTGTTGTTTTACTTGACATTGTTAGAAAACGAAGTTGAATGTAAAGCAAGCCGTTGAATCCGTACAAAAGTCCATAAACTCAATGTAATATCTATTAGATTAACGGGACAGACAAATTATTTTCACACATTCTGGATATTTTAGCAACTATTTTTTTAATCAACCCCGTGGTCGTGCGATTTGCCGCTATGCTTAATTATTTATGTTTCATACATTATGTTACGTACATTGACCGATAATTTCTTATTTATAAAAAATGCCAAATAAAAGGTAGACGATATTCATAAAAGATGTACGGTATTTGTACGATACATGAATTACGAGTAGTATGGACCAGTATAGACCGGTAATTCACGGATATATGGAACTACCGATTTCCCTCATTGATGCCTCAACAGGGGGCGGAGCGTTATCGATAATTGACAGGTTACGCGAATAGCAGATAAAAATGGTACAGATACAGTTTTAAAAGGTTTAAAAACACATTTTTTGGACTAACTGCTTCCAAAATTAAATCACGAATGTGTTCAGAAAAGGTTGATCTACTAAGCAAAAAATCTCATTTTAGGTATTTTCAGTAAAAATTGACTCCGTTGTCACCTTAAACCTTAATTTAAATGTCTCGAAATTAGCTCTAGGAGCAGCATGAAAAAACAGAGTGTGCTATTTTGAAAATTAAGGTGGTACTGTCCTAATATTGAATAATATTAAGATAGGCTAGTGTAATTGTCATCAGCCGTCGTGAGATCAAACCCACGTTGATCTCTATTGTTTCCTTTTAAAACAAATTATATACTTTATAAGTTTATACAATGTGTCAATGTTTACAGTAAAAATACAAATAAAATACAGTAAGGAATGTACAATTCCAATTCATTTTATAAGATTTATAAGCGTCTAAAAATGTTTATTTACATTTTATGTGCTTCCTTTGGGAAACCTGCAACGGTTTAAGTGTCACAAATTGCCATTCCTTCTGCTCTGAGAAGTCTGAGTAGGAACGGAGTATTAAGAACGACAATACAAGAACGATATATTAACGCTGTTACATAATTAAAAGTTATATCGACTAATACATGAGGCATTTATTCGAAAAGTATAAAATGTTTTATTTATATTTTATTTCAAATGTTTAACATTAATGTAGACTGTAGCATTTGTAAGAGATATTTTCTTTGAGGATCAATTTTAGTTTCACTAAAAATACATTGTCAAATTAAACACTTAAAAAAAAGTGGTGAATATACACATACATTTAAAAGTTAAATCTTTAGTAAAACATAAGTCATGAAAGTTGTCGTTTTGGGCTTTCTTTAGGGATTCTTATTTTCTCTATATTACGAGACATGACCGTATACTTCATGTGGAAAAGCAATTTTATAGATTTCAAATGATAATTTTCTTAAATCTACATGTTAAGCGTTGACAACACAAATAGAGAAATTGTATAAGAAATAAGCGTACTTTATGAACTTCAATCCGTTAAAATCATATTTAATGAAATCAAGGGGGATACAGATTCACTTTATTTAAAATGGCGGAATTTACGTCACAACGCGATCATTAGAATATCAGGCTTCAGATAAGTATGCCATTCGAAAGATAAAATACAAAAAATAGTCTCGATATCAATCTGAGTTGCAATATTTTTACATCTACAGCATGTCGTAGGTCGAATAAAATCTTATTTAAACAAAGTACAACTTAACGAATCTGATTTAACACTTTCAGTTGGAAAGATGCTTGATGAAAACATGCTTCCAGAATATGAAGATATACAGACTATACACAAACTGTGCGGGAGGCAATCTGAGAACATGAAAACACTCTGTGGAAAAATTTGTAGAGTTATAAATCGGAAAGTGTATGAAGATGCAGCTACAGACATTTGGCCAGCATGGGATCCGGCAAAAGATAAGATAGTATTTGTTGTAGAATTGACAACAATTACTAACAGTAGAAGTACTTCTCTCTATACTGATCTTGAAATAAAAGAATACAAGAGAAATTGTAGCGCTTTTGAGAAAGAAGGTCACCTGGCTATGGTAAAAGAGGAGGAATTCTTGGCGAATAAAATATATGATGACACCGGTCGCTTTCAAAATCTTCGGAAAGAAATATCAACGTATTCAAAAGAACTGATGGATAAGCATAGAAATATAAATGCAATTTTTCCCAGTATAGTAAAGTCTGTTGGATATCTCAACTCTGGCAAACATAGATTGATCGAAACATTATGTATTTCAATACGTGTTGAAAAGAAAGTCAGTGGTTTAATTCCACTAGCAGAAAAGCCTATCGCAACATATTTAGGTACATTTCCAACTGATGTTATTGCTGGGGACTTTTGCTTTCTTGGTGACGGACCTAATGATTTTCATGAAAATATAAAAATTGGGTCAGCAATCCACGCTGGATTAGTAACAGACAAAGGGGATCTGTTAGGTGGAACAATTGGTTGTTTCGTGAAACACAAACAATTTGGTTTGTGCGGTATAACATCCGCACATATCATTTTGTCACCAGCTGAGATTCAAGAGGTGCTAAAGGACGGGTACCTCGAGTACGATAAAAATAGTTTGAAACCGGTGTACCAACCAATTAGCGACACATCACCACAATTTGGACAAGTTGTTGCAGCTGCGTGTAATGAGGGGCTAAGTGACACGCCTGGGGTAGAAGTGGCATTGATAAAAATCCTGTGCAGACAACCAACATCCGGGTCTTTTCCACTTACAGGCATGTACCATTTAAGCTATTAAGTCGTATGTATGTTTCAACACACAAAACTGTTAATGTAATTATGTTTCATGAGATATAATAAATTAAACAGGCTCACTGACTAAATATTTGTTCGTATTCATCAACCTTAACATCGACATTGGTTTTATCAAACTGAATAAACATAGGCAGTCTATCATTCTGCATGTTACCATGACCATGGCTTGTCTTAATTCATTTCATTAAATTTACAGATTCCAAAATAAGGCCCACATTCGTGTTTGATTCAGGCAATATAGCTGATGCAACACTGGTAAGACCATTGACAGAAGTGTTTAAATTTGGTATTGAAACCGGACCAACTTTCGGGTTACTGGGAATACCTGGTGTTTCTGTTCGATACCGGGGAGGCCTACGATTAGAGAATCAACTACTTGTTATGCCAAAGAAAGATGCTGTTTTTGCTAAGAATGGTGATTCTGGGTCACCTGCATTTATAGGTGTGTCATGCCCTGGAACAGAGGCTGCGATAGGTTTGGTTTCGGGTGGTTTCGACAGCGGTCAAGTTCTGGTCACACCGATTCATGCTGCATTAAAAGCTGTCCAGTGTCCGCCTTATTTACATAGATTTGAAGATGTGGGTGGAGATTCAGGAATAAATGCCGACATTTCACAAGGCTCTGAAAGTATGGATTGCAGTTAATATTTACATTTGACATAACAAATGATTGCCGTGGCATTGTCTGCATTAAAAATTTTCTAAATATTGATTTAATGCACACAGTATTTTAGAAATCACAGCAAATTTAATAACATTGTTGTATAAGTAGATATATTCAGCACACATTCAGTTAGAGTGAAACATAAGAATATATATGTATATATGTCATTTCAACTAAATATTATTTTGCCCTTTAAAATTCTATTTAACAAAAAGCTGTGTTATTAAATGACAGTCCACCATCAGTTTATTAAAAATTATACAACATTTATTGTGTGATCTAGTTTTGTAATGTTGCGTTAGCTTAATTAGTTTGAATGGTAATATAAGATTCTTGCCGATCCGTATTTAATCATGAAATATCAAATAAAGCCGAAACACTTAAAACGTTGCAAAGGTTGAATATTAGACTCTAGCAAATTGTTATTCTTCAATTTATTTATCTATAGTATTAATTGTTACGTTTTTAATATCTATCATACATTAACTACTGATTATTAACAATATCCTGTTTGATTTAAAAATATTTAAATACTCTTTTCGTTCACATTCATCAAATTATATTATCATAATATAACACAAAAGTAGCTAAAGGGTTGAGCCACGAGTTCTTACAACATCAGCAAACAGTTCGTCACTGAACAAGTCAAACTACATTTTTTGAAAGTTGTGACAGTTAGCTTTTGCGTGGTTAAGGCAGTCCAGATACAAGACATTGTACTGTATGCTTTAGCATGTTATGATCCAATAATTGTACTGATATATAAATATATATACATGTACTGATATATACATTATATAGAGTGTTTGATAAAGCTAATCTTTAGCAAGCCTATGATACAAATATGATTAGATCAAGACATATACAATATACGGATTACGGATTATTTGACAAAGATTTGCTTGTTTTAGCGTACTATATTCTAGAATTATTGTATTTAAGAATATCCTTTGTTTTTAATCTTCGAAAGTATAGTTTTAGTTATAATAACATGCCATTGATTCCATTGGTACCATTTGTAATTAGTAGGAAATCGGATTATTTGATAATATAATCATAATTCTTTATTGTACAGTTTTGTATTGGACATTATCAAGTATAATATGTCATCTTATATTAATCATTGCATATATTTCATTGTACAGGATAGACAATAGTTCTGTGAACGTATTCATGTACTTTTAATACACTGTCAGTGCAGATTTAATTATCAAAAGTACACACTGAAATAGACTAAAATCAATTATAATACACGAAGTATGAAGTAATCGTTATGAAATATGTACTTTCGTCCAATTCAACTTTTGCACTGATCAGTAACAATTCAAAATTATACCTTTCGCCTTTTACCGCGACAATTCAGACAAATTATTATTTTTGTTTAAAGGGCTATTTTAAGTTCCTGATCTTCAGATTTAATTTATATCAACAGCTTCTCATGTGTTGGATTTTATTTATTTATGAATAGAAAAATACTTGTCTTTGTATGTACTTTCTGTTGAATCATATGTTTCAATTTATGTTAAACAGACTTTGTTTTTTCTAAAAGTGATCATTTTTATGTTAACTACCTACATATACATTCGTTAGTTTGTAAATATTATATAATTATTAAAGAGTTTTATATCATATGTTGCTTTGGTTCTGCCATTTAAATCTAAAGCCGACCAGAGGACGGCAAAACATATTTCCATACCTGTTATTAATATGATTAATACGTATCTTTATAACATAATAATTTCTGTACTGTACACAGAATACTGTTCTGAGCAGATTTTCCTGCTTATTAACGTTCACCTCATGCTAGAAAGCATATAATTATTGCTATATGGAATGTAATACATACTATATGGTACATATTCACATTAATTACTGTATAGATGGTATATATTTATTATATATTTTCTAAATTCAACTACTGCAAAGATTGAGGGTAAAAGTAAGAATAATTATTGATACAGATATACCCTATTTTTGTTAGTCTGTCCTGAAGATTGGTCGGTACACACCAGATGTTTTCAAATTCTTATCTTTCACTCTGGTTTGTGTTTATGAGAATTTATCTTGGCGCGATTGTGATGAAAGCTATAAACTTATTGATACATACATGAGTCCGGTCCACGAACTCACTAGTACTAAGCAATGAATGTAAAGTTCCTAGCTCAAGGAAACAACGGCTTGTCCCTGACAGGGTTTGATCAGCAATCGTTAGACTACTAGTTAAAAGCGTTACCACTCGGCCACGCCGCATCTTATACGTTCTGTAATTAACAACAAAAGGAAAACATAAAACTATAATCTGAAGTACATAACGTACATGTTATCTTCATGAAACCCTACTTATTATAATAAGTTTCCTTGATTTGAAGCCCGTTTGAGCAGTATATGTTGTTAATGGGTTGGGCGTTATATCGTTTCAGAGAATTTAACAAAATAATGTTGTGATTTTAATCACACCAACAGTTCTTCTATTTCTTCACAGAAACTTTAACACACAGTCTTAATTTCAACAAAATACTTTATTTTAAAAAAATCATGGTAAAACTGTAATTTTATGTATAAAGGCATGATTCATCAACGATCTTTAACAGATTATGATAGTATGCTACAAAGCGTATATGGTATAACACACACATACACACACATACACACGCGCGCGCGCGCAAGCACGCACACACATATATACACGAACACGCACAAGCACACGTCTGTCACGACCAGTTAATATCTAGTTTGGTCTAGTATTAATATGCGAGACCATAATGAACTAGCATCACACATGCTGTTACAACAGTCAAAGCCGTCACAAGTGATAAATAAATATACATAGTAACTTTATCCAAAAGCAAGGCAATTTCTTTCCAAGAGTATTCTTTATCAGATGGTGTCGATTCATTTGCTTCCCAGACTCCATTTTTGTCTTCTTCGTTATCTTCAATGGAAACAATCTTTTCGCTTTTGCTATAGCCGGATTGGTGTTGAGGAACTGTGCCACTATCATTATTCATATCAGATGGATTGGGAGATACTTTCTTATTTTTTCTACTGCAGTCGACGCAAGCAAGTTTGATTAACACCGAGGAATTCACTACGTGTAGCCATTTCGGAACAGGTTTGTCGTCTGGGTTGAAGTATGTATCGAGGTAGAGTACAGTAAGGAACACAGCAAGAGTTTGTAGAAACAAAATACAAGCTATGTATGAAGCTGCAAACAGAACGATCAAAAAATATTAAAACGAAATTTCAGAATGTATCAAATGCCTATCACTGTTTATACAAAGGAAATAAATCTATTCAGGTGTAGAAAATGGAATAAACAATTGTTTTAAATATTACTCTGGCAAATGAAATATGTTTCTCAACTGCCTAGAGAAAAGAAAAAAATGATGGAATATAAAACACTCATTTTGTACGAACCAAGAAAAAGTACTTTTAACTATCAATTTCATCTGGAAGAACTTTAAATGCAAATTATCCAATGATAACAAACGTTTGTTCTTAATTATAAAGGAAAATCATATACACCTTAGGTCATATCAGTTTAAAAGCACGTCCGGTCATGACACCTCGTAGGATTTTACACTATTAGTATCTATAAGGACTTGTCATGCCATGGTACATTTTTAATATACAAGCAGCCTTTATATATTTTGAAGCTGGAGATATCTGCAAAATAAGCTTTCTTACAACTCAAAGATTTTAAATAACCTATTTAGTAACCGAACTATCGGTTTTGATGTTACTTACAAAGCAGACTTGCAGACAATGATGTCTGGGGAATACTTTCAGAAATGACACCAAGGTATACAGCAAAAGCGAGTAATATAGTTAATGCCAGACCGACCCTTTCACCTGACTCCGGATTCAGCTTAAATATTATAACCTGAAAACAAGCAGAAGTATACGAAGGAAACTTCTGTAAATATTCATCGGAATTTAAAGTAACAATCAATTTTAAATTAATATAAGGAGTTGGTAGTATTTTATCAATTCAAAGCAGATATATAATAATAATAACGATTCTAAGATATACTATTTAAACTTTAATATTTTTCAATATCAACTATTGGTCAATCTCCAATTCAACAAACATTTGAAATATATAGTCAATATAATGGTGGTTAATTTGTTTTCGCCCCGCGACCCCGCCAAGCAAAAGGTCGAGAATTGAGAAAAGTGGCGAGGAGCGAAAACAAGCTAATTAAACGCTAATCAGCGCCCCGCCATTTAGGAGTTAAAATAACTACTATTCGCTCCGCTCCCCGGCTAATAAGTATGTTTTCGCTGTGCGGCCCCGTCGTTTTCTACATTTTAAAACCGTGCCCCGCAGCCCCTGTTAATTAGCTTGTTTTCGCCCCGCATTACTGCAGTTTAATTCCTGCACCCCCGCGAATGGACGTTTTAAGTTTTTGATCTCAACCGCGCCCCCGCTTATACGCGTGTTTTTGCTCCGTGTCCTCGCAAGATTTTAACTGCTTAACCGACGTGGCGCGGATTGAAAACATGCTAATTAGCGGTGACGCGGAGCGAAATGTCGAGCTCGTTAAGAATAATTTGTCGAGGGCGTTAACAATCGCACGCTAAATAACTACATATAACAATAAACATTTCGCTTTGCGGCTCCGCCGTATTACACTTAAATCTCTACTTTTCGCGCCGCGCCCCGCTAATAAGTGTGTTTTCGCTCCGCGCCCCCGCCATTTTAACTTGTTTATTATCGACTTTTTGCTTGACGGGGTCGCGGCTGTAAACGCTACTGGCACAAAATAGCCACCATACAATATAGCCTATTCGGCTCATTTAAACAATGAAAAAATATACATATTGTCACTTTAATAAATATAAAAGTACGAAAATCTGCATCTATAAATAAATGAAATAGTTAACAAAACTCACACTTTGACTACAAACAGAACTAAGTTTGTAATTCCGCACAAAATAAACAATAATAATTTTCTTACTGTTAAGAACGCCATGAGGACAACCGGAAACAGTGTGTTAAGAGAGTGAAACATGGGTCTGCGACGAAATGTTAAGGAGAAAACTAGACGACTAAAACTTTCTGATTCTCGAACTGTCTCGAGAGATTTGTATCCTGTGTTGATTAATTCCCATTCCCCATTTTCTGTTAAATAAATACAATTAAGAATATATAATGTTCTATAGAAAGTTCGTAAAATAATTAACAAGGTTTGTTAACTTTGACAGATAAATAAAATTTTCATGTCATTCCAATTTTCATTTCGGATGACTTTTTCAAGAGGTTATTTACAGAGAAAATGTTGATATTCGTTTATTTAACAAACGTGTACCCATTACAAAACAAAAACATTTTTGTTTCAAATTGTGTGCTTTTGTAAAAGAGTATATAAAGACTATATATAACTGACAAAATCAATTGATCGAACAACAATTCTGCAATTGCTTGAATGCAAGGCGAAAAGACAAACTCGTACAACCTTTTTTCTTTGTATCGACTTGTTAATTTGAAAGTCACGTTAAGGTTTTAGACTCTCCGGAAAACGGGTCATCAAACAGTTACGTGAGAAAGGCAATAATATTTTTTTTAATTTATTTGTTTAACTTCAAAAATAAAACAAGGTCATGGTTATAACGTTCTTCTTTCAATTGTTTTTCTCATCATCTATCCATTAACATACAAATATATCAAATAAGATCTAATCTCAACTTATGAGCTTTCAGAATTAAAAATCTCGATAATGAAAAAAAATATCGATATCAAATGACAGGAAGCAAAGTACGCCTGTCTTTGGTATGTGTCTATTTCTATCATTTACATAATTTTCACTAGAATCTTCAGTTCAGATATGAAATCTTACCTTGATAAAATTCCGTCAGAATCTTCGTTTTAAAGAGATTGAACTCTAACCTAATTTCAGTAAGAGTGTACGACCATGAACTGAGAACAATCTCGCAGGTTTGTGTGTCAAGTGGCCAGAATGTTACGTAACTTTCACAAGAAGTAGTAAATATTCCGGCTGCAAAGAAAAAATAAAGTTGAATAAAGAGTTTTCTGTTTTAGCTTTTTTATTTTCTCGTTACGTTAGCTATTTCATTTATAATTAAAAGTCAACTTTTAAAACGTAGTATAAATTTAACGCTTGAAAGATATACTGTGTCCATCCTGGAGTAAGATATTTTAATCAAAGAAATAGATTTAAATATGTTTAAGTCTTACTAAATATGTAAAATATGAATAAAACGATTAAATACACTATGTACGGCAGGTTGAAATATGAAATATCTACTTTGTGTGAAGTTAAATCATGTTTATTTTATACTTATAAAGGGACTGTGCAGCAATTATCATTATATCAAATTTAAGCATAGTCGGTCATTAATATGTGACTCATCAGGTTGATTTGTTTATTCCTAAAATAATTTTAAACTAATTGTTTTCGCCTAAAGCTTTGAATGAAAATATTATCCGATCTCTGAAATATTTTCATACTATACGAATATAAACGCAAAAAAGAGGTAATGCTTTGCTAGGGTAAAATATATTAATAGCAAACCTGGAAGCCAATTTATTCCACCATTTGCATTGATCCTCATAGGAACGCTCGGTCTTGATATGACATCAATATCATCCACACTGAAACGGTGTAAATGAGCGTTAATACATTACTGGATTTATCGATTATTTTATTGAACATAATGATATTATAAGAGCCTTTGTTGAGCGTAATATATATATTTTTTAAACGACTTAATGATTTTAAAAATAAAACTATACTTACATAATATTCTATATATCATTCATCTAAAAATTAATAATACAGCCACAAAAAGTATCATTACATTATATTTTTATATAATAATTTAACACTATAACGCTGTCATAATGTAGGCATATTTAACGTCAAGTCATACAGCAGTACAATGTAGTTTTTACTACGTGGAAAAATTCCCCAATGCATGTGATAAAAATATGTTAAAAATATTCGTAAGTGTGTCTAAGTATTTTCTCAATTCTTCCCCCCATCACCCATTTTTAACCCCCCCCCCCCCACCTTTTCACCCTTACAGCCCTTATCCCTTTAATTCCCCTATGGGCCTGTTTTAGTTGATATTATTTCACATTACATGTCCCACTCCTTTCACCTTTATGTCCGCTCTAGGTTTTTTGTGGGTGTGTCGGGGACCGCGTCCTGTGAACGTTGTCTTTGCCTTGTTGATCTTTATTCTTGTTTTTTTTTCATATAACATAGATTTAAAACAAGGCTAGATGGATAAAACACAAACGAAGTATTCGTTCAAAAATAATTAAATTAAATAAAATTCGAAAAAGCATTTCAACAAAAGAAAAACAATGGTAGGATTGAAGTGCTAGAATAAGTCCTAAATGGATGTATGAATTTGGGTAAATCTGATATTCATTTCTGGCAATTTATACATCGAAGTGTTATTATTAATAAGAGTTACTCTCCTTTGATATATGGAGGTCATAAATTTTATACATCAACTATATAATTCAGTGTGAATCGGTTTGTTGTTTATAGCTTTTGTATATAATGTTCATAACATTACACAAATGGAAATGACTTTGTGACATTCAAAATAGACAAATGAAGCAAAAATAGATATATTTCAACATTTATATAATAATTAAAATTAGTATACATACGAATTTTCAACAATGATTGGTGGTTTCCAAACACTTTTCTCGTCACTAAACAAAAAAATGATATTGGCGTATGTAATGTTGTTAATCCATCTCAGCCGGGAGTCAGTCCATTCCTAGAAAAATTAAAACACAATAAAAGCAATATAATCAAGCAAGAGTCATCATCTATGTAACTTGTCATTCTTACTGATATACTTAGAGCATCCCTTACAGAATACACGCCTATTCCATATGCCTTTACAAAAACTGATTAATGTAAAAGAACAATGTATGTGAACGTCGTTGGTTAGGAAAATTGTTGTCTCAAGTAAGAATAATTAAAGTTGAAAGTTGTTGTCTGAAATACTTTTTAACCACTTTAAGTGTGCTTAATAGGTCAAAATTCAGGATATGAACTTAAAGAAAACATGATAAGGGGTGAAGTTGACTTTATACAGGGATGAACGTTTTTAATATTATTTTCTATAATATAAACATTACTTACAAAAGAGAAATATGCCGATATTGACAACGCCTGTTCTTTTATATCCTGAAATTAACAGATATCAAAGCACATTATTTGTACAAAAGACTCTCATTTTGTTGAGTTTAGTGTCGGATATGATTACTCACATAAGGCCAATAGATTTATGAAAGGATGGTTTCATCAGTTCATACAATAACAAATACGTGTCTTCTTTTTCCTCGGGGAGTGTAGGTGAGGGTTAACGTCGCTCCAACTCAGTAGAAGACATTTACGATTAACAAGATTAACAAGATTTACTGGTGGAGAAAGACCTTAGGTGCACATCGTGCATGGTTTAAGGCACGAAAGGGCTTCTGAGAAGAACCACCGACGCTGCGTAAGATAGCTAGAGAGCTCTCTCATATGAAAGAAATAAAGTCCCTGGCAGTCCGATTTGACAACACTGATTAGCAAGCGGCTCGAAATCAACGACCTTAACCGACCAGTCACGGAAGTAATTTTGTCCTCGTCAAACCAGACAGCTGTAATATCACAAAGTGACATAGACTTTATTTCGCCACTTTATATATCAACGATTCTTGCCACATTTTAAGACAAGAAACATAAAATATAAAATATAATTGATGCATTTTTAATTCATTTGTAAACATATCGGCCTTACCGAAAAGAAACTGCAAGACTGATAATATGTTATAAATAAACAACCATGTTCAAAATAATTTATTGTCATAAATATGTTCGTTTTACATATACTTCATATAAAGATGAGATATTTCAACAAAATGAGCACATCGCATACAATAAAATAAATATGCATACCACACAATTTATTTTTAACATACATGTTTTAGGCAACATTTTTACATATTCCAGTGGTATTTTTTCTGTATTTTTCCATTGTAGCTCTTATTCGTTTTACCGACATGCTTGCAGAAATTAAGACCACATTGTGACCATATTGTGACCACAAATGTTAATCAAAATATTGATGTATAGAAAACGTTCTGCAAGCATAATGTAAAAGTAAAATAGCTACAAAGAACAGTTATATACCATTGGAATTGTATCAAATGGTTATCAAAAAGGCTAATATTTTCAGAGATATAATTATAATTATTCTAATATTCAAAAATAGTTTTTATAACATTCGATAGATATTGATAATATGACATTTATGATTCATATAAAATTCATACTATTATAGTAAAACCTTTGTAAAACATCCCTCTATAAAGCGGTAACCTCATTACAACAAAAGGTATTTTTTCCCAAAGTAAGACTTCACATTATTTCAAACACACAACAGCAATACCTCTCTGCAACAATCTAAATAATTGTCTTCTCAAGGCTTGTACTGTAATTGCATATAATGTATATATTGTATCGAGCACTTGGGTAAAGATTTTACAATCCATTACAATCCAACAAACATATATATAAACATATACCAGTATACTAGTAAATCTATTAATAAATGCATCCATCACTTTCATAAATGATACAGTATCAATTCAAACAACTAATACCAATATATATAAAACCGTAAACATGTAAGCATTCGTATTGTTACTAGTAAACATATTTTCCCTGAACTTTTGTTAATCAACAAGTGAAATCCATGTTAAAAATTAATGCGACTGTAAAGTATCGATACCCAAAGCTGAATGACTTTCAATTACAATTCATAATGCACAGTAACTCGTGCATACGTAATTGAACAAAAAAACTTCTGATTGGTACATTCAAAAGATCTATCCAATCCAAAGGAAATTATTTACCGCCTAATTCGCTTCACTTAACCAGCGGAAAATATATTTTTTCTCCTGCAATACCCTGTGCACATTCTCCACCGGTACCGTTACTTAGCCGCAGCTGACTTATAATATCAGCTAGTTGATGGATTTAATCGACTGAAAGACAAAAGCTGTACTTATGGTGTACCATGCATGTTACATTCAGTTGAAATTGAAAATTGTATAAAATGTGTGGGTAAAAAGAATTGTATTAAATGTGTGGGTAAATTCCAGTCTCAGTCTTGATTTCAGGTTTTTCCACTTATTTATCGTGCGATATTTCCCCTCATCAGAAACCACAGGTTGTTTTGAATTGAAATAGAAAATTGAGAAAGAAACTCACTAGCTCATGTTTGAGTAAAAGTACTTTAATTGCAGAATGTTATTGGATTCTAGATGGTTCTAATGTGAATCCCCTATAAGTTAATTTGGTCCTTACTTATTAATAAATAACACTGCCCGTGTTTTTATTGGTTTCTATGTGTTGTTTGTTGATTTTAAAACGTAACATATCTTCTTTGTGTGTATTCAAATGATGCTTATTTTATATTAAAAAAGAGATTGAAAAGCGTTTATCACTATTTTCAAATATCAAATGCTGCGCTAAATGTACATTAAAAGCACACTTATAAAAAAAAGATACTGGCTCAAACAAACCAATAAAAACCTGTTTCTTCTAAAATTGTGAGATATACAAGGAAGGGAGAGAATACGTACCAAATAATTCAGTGAAAGAAGGTTCAGAGTTATTCTCACTCGGTTTAGTTTTTCAGGTCTTTGTTTTATTTCGTATGTGTTAAACAGCCAATTCCTCAACTCCGTTTCTAAATCAATCGAATAAACAGGTGGTGAAAAAACCTGAGAACTGACCATTCCTGTTCCTACAACTGTAATAGAACAAAAATATTAAAATGTCTACTTGGAATTTTCAAAAAAGTGGCCAAAATATATTGAAGGAACATGGGCTTGAAGGAAAATGAGATTGTTCCAAATGTGCGTTTTAATTTGTTTAAGTTACGACGACATTATACGTTAAGACACGTAAATCTTTCGGTCTGGTTTTCAAGGGTGTGGGGTAAAGGGAGTTAGTTCATGTGTCAGGTAGTCAGAGTTATTCATTTATTATTTTCGTGCAGTAACATAGGATTATTTTATATCGCACAGATTCTTTCCATTGTGTAACTTTTAATTATTTTATTTATACAAGTCATATTCTGATATTCATCAGCAGCACAAAGACATAGCGGATACTTATTATTCTTGCAACTTAACGCCATTTTGTTCTTGAAATGCACCCTTTTGTTTCCCGTACGTTTTGCTAGTTTAAAGCTCTGATTCAAGAACTTACGACCGGCCACAAAGCAGTAGTAACGTTCATCGTATGTCTCAAACGAAAGGGCAAGGGGTAATTTTAAACTTCATAGTTCTAACATACTGAGTGGCACGGTTACTGCTTAATAATAAGATTGAAAAAAGGACTTAAATAATAACTAACTACCAGACTATCTTCTTACTATTAACTCGTGTGTTACAATTAATCTTGTTTAAAAAAGATAATTTAAACATCATTAATGTCTTTAAAGAGATCTATAGGTGTAAAGTAATACTTATAAGCTTTCATAACTTTCTGCTTAATCAAATATTGTACCGTGTAAATATATAAATTGTACCGTGTAAATATATAAATATATAAGATACGTAAATATGTTTAAACCAAAATTATCTTGTAAACAGTTAGGCATGATAACAATAATAATCAAATTAACTTATTTCATTAGTGTTTTGTTAAATAATTCTGAACACACTTACGAATAAGGAATGACCACAGCGCAAACGAATAAATTCCCATCATTGTGCTAATTGCCCGTCAACTCAGACAGGTAATAAAATATACTGATAACTTTTTTAATAATGACTGGTTTGTTTCTGCAATAAAACATATCTGACCTATACTGTCAAAAATACAACATTGTAAAGCATTTAAATCATAGTCAAAGTAAAGGAGAAAATTAATCCTTTAATCTCACTATTTATTTAGTTGTAAATTCATTATTGAAAGCTATTGACCTGAAGTGATTTAGGAGTCTCTAACTCTGCCTCATTACGTCATAATTTAAGCCCAATAGAACCAAAGTAAACAGATTAATGATTTGTTTATTTGTACAAAATAGCTGTTTTGAAGTTAGATTTATATTTATTTTTATTATCTTATTTTTTATAGTTATTTTTATTATTTGTAGGCATACCGATGTTGTAATACGAAAACATTTATTATGAGTCACATACTACTTGACAAAACATATCATACAAAAACAGTAAGCAGTTGAATAGTAATAATACTTCAGTTACAGTTAATCTTAACCCACCTCTATAATTTCATCGATTTATATATTAATTAAACATACGTTCCTTTACAAAATAAGTACATTTATATAATTTAAGATATTTTGTCGTAAGTTGTCCCTACGTTTCAAATGTATTGCTACTAGTGCTTTAAGATTCATTGCTTTTTTCATAAAGTAATACATTGAATGTACAATGTTGATAAAATGATAACAGTCTAGTTTATATATATGATGCAAAAGTTGTTAGTTTAATTTTAAAATGAAGTGATTTCAAAATACCTGTATGAAACAAATATTATGTTTTCCTTCAGAACAAATAGCTCATGCGAAAAACCGGTGCAAACCCGTTAAAACCCTTCTTGAAATGGCAGGGTAATATTTTGTTCCGGAACATTTTTTTCTTATTACATACAATATCCATGTATGTTGAATAACAGAGATATTCTTTGTTACAACTTTCTCAAGAATGAACTATAAGGTTTATGGAAACAACATAATTTTACTGTTTAAAAAAGTGTACTGACAGTTTCACCAGAAATAGCTTTATACCCTAAAATAAATTAATCACGTGTGAGAAATTGAGTAAAGAATCTCGATATTAAAAACACGTGGGCAGAAGATAAACCTTATTTGAACTTAATATGGTCAATGATCAAAACAAGGTATTTAATATAGTTATAAAAGATCAATGACTTTTGGTGTATGTCAAATAGTTAGTTTGTAATCCTAGGCGTGCTTACTTGTACTAGCATTAACCAATACACGTGAAGAAAATATTTACCACTGCGTTTTAATCTATTTGCTATAACCTGATATACATAAATTGTTTATGAACGTTCAAACGTAAAGAGTCGGAACAAATAACAGTCTTATATAAGTTCTTATTGTTTGTTGTTTTTGTTTGTTGTTTTTTTTAAAGTGTAATTACGTGTTACCAAGGGAATCGTGATTTAAATGTCGCCGCATCCAAACCTTAATAATCAATGCAGGCCCCCGTTTCCCAGGTAATACCTAGAAGTAAATGTCTCCCAATTGTTTATTTACACTAATCTGCACAAATGCAACAAAAACAAAATATTCTCGAATTACTAAGCTTTTCCTTGCTAAACAGATGATATGTTACACGTTAAAACTCTTCCCTTTTATAACTTTAGAAAATACAAACACCACTGTAAGTAAGGAGTGCTAATAAAAGGTATTATGACAAAAAGGATTAAACTTTCGATGTCGCCAGTTTTTCAACATTTACGTGATGTCCGCGATTGTCGTAATTTAGAGCGAAAGCTAACACGGTTTATTATGAGAATGGTTGGTCGTATGGGCGTGGACAAACTGCTCATTACATACAGTATACATATCATTTAATATGAGGTCTTCTGTCTTTGTTAGTTTTATGAATATATTGGATAGTATACAGCGTCTTCCGCTAGAAGTTTTATTGTAATGTTCGCTACACGATAATCTAGTAATTGAACAAAAAATGAATATTATGTTTCATTTATTGTATTTTTCACAAAAAGGAAATTGAATTCTACAATTAATCATAATTTATGTAAAAATTCAATCTCATTAGTCCAAATAGTAGTCAACAGAATTTTTTATAGAATCATATTTACTGGCTGAATTGGATTTTCCCAGTCTAAAAATAGATTGAGAGTCATATTCAATTACCAAATATCGTAGACTGCTTATTAAAACAGATAATTGTTGCGTTTTGTTCTATATGGCATATTTCTCGATTAAAATATCATTACTTTACTTTAATAGTTATAAGGTACAACACAATGATGAGTATATACATTCGCATAGTTGTTGCATGCCTTACATGTGCGTCTTTTTCCCCGCGCTTCAACGAAACAGGCAAAGGCTGTACATGTATAAGGGTTTACTTTCTGTGATTTAATTTAATTTTATAGCCTATTTATATAATAAAACAATTATTGACTAGTGTGCAATTGCATATGATGTGATATTCACCGGAAGAAAGTCATATTGACCTCGGCTATCGCCTCGGTCAATATATCGCTCAATATATCATTTGCCGGTGAATATCACATCAAATTCAATGGCATACTAGTAAATTATTGTGTAATATTGAATTCGCATTGTATATCAATTACTTATTCCTGATTATTGTGTAACGTGAAGTATTGATTTTAACATTACACAACGTGTCAGATTTTATTCAAGATGATGCCATTTTAGCTGAGATTTGAACAAGTAAAAAAAAGTTTTTTTACTATTTTCTTTATTGTAATTTTGATTTTACGAATTCCTAATCCTGAATACTATGTTTTTTTTTTTTAAAAAAAAAACCTGTAGATAAACGGATTAATGTCAACCAAAACATTTCTTAGTGTAATCTGTTTTTCGTCCAAATAAACGGCTGGTAATATCCGCGATGTTTTAGTAAGGATCATTATTATCAGTAAGATTAAATTAATTTCTTTCTTTTCAAAACGGAATGAAACGATTTTTTTAATTTTAAAAAGTTTAAATTGCCTAACGGTTAGTATGTATCAGTATATTTTGTATTTGTTTGTCAAAAACGATCAAATGAGTTGCTGTAATTATCATAAAACAAAATGACACTGTTTTTTTCTTTTAAATACGTATTTACAACCTACTTTTAGAATCTGTCAGGACCTTTATTTAGATGTGTGTATAACTAAACATTATACTTAATTTTATGAAAAAAAAGTATGTCCTTTCGTCTAAATTATGGTCTCGAACATTACATAATTTACGTATCGAACACTACATATATTTCTATTTATTATATGGAAATTATGGTAAAATCTCGGACTGAGATCTAGAGATTATGTAGAGATTATAAAAAACGTTTTGAAGAGACCGATAATGAGACTCATTTACACAAAGAACGCGAACGCAGACGCAAAACCTACGTAATATCAGGAATACTGAATCATCTAAAAAAATGTGAACGACGAAGAAAAATATGCGAAGCTGTACGACATTACCGACAGAGAAGAAGAAACCAGCAAAACCGAGAAAGAAATCAAGAAAAAAGTATAGACACAAGCGGATACGAAAGTATTGATGTGTCATCAGAAATCCGTCGTGGTGAAAGTCTTGTAGTTGCAATGCATTTTCAAAATCGAGCAGCTGCACCTAGAAAACGACAAACCAAAGAACTGAAGAAAGCTAAGAAACAATTGCCGAGTTGCGAGAGCTGAACCGAATCTAGAACCTTCAAGAAAGCTTAAAACAGAACAAAGAAAGAAGCTTACAAACCTTACCATATACACCGAGCGAGAGACAGAATAGCTAATGAGATCAGCAGCGATGTCAAAAACACAAAAGGCAAAGTTCAAAAAGGCTGTTTCATTTGGTAATGCCTCAGCACGTCAGCAATGCAGGAAGAAACTTGAAAGCAATAAAGCTACTCCAAGAGAATTCCATTAGCATGTGGTCGGTAAAATCTTGAAGAAGCACAGATGCAGTAAGTTTCTGTGCTAAAAGGTTAGTCTAAACAGTGGGACTCTAACTAGGTACAACAAATAAGAAAGCAAACACGATGACTTGAACAGAACCCGAAAGTTTGAAGAGCAGCAATTTACTAAGAGATGATTACAGCCGCATGCAGCCTGGAAGGGCGGATTGTAGACAAACAAGCGATGATGACTTTAATCAAACAAGTTGCTAACTGATTATATGTTAGATTTTTACCAAACATTGCATTCTGAAAATCCAGAGTGTTTTGTGTCGTTCGCCACATTGTGTAGAATACGACCAAAATATTTGCAACTGTGTTCGTTCATCAAGGAGCAGTTGCCTTTGTACCCGCAATCAAATCATGGTATTTATGGCTAGAGTTCTGAAACAACAGGGAGTATCAGTTTTATTTAACCACGACACCTTTGTGGAAGGAATAATTGACGATGTAATTTTACAAAATATTGTTGGCACTGTAAAGGTCGCGTTGTCGTTGAACACAAAGTTAAAGATAGGCACAATCAAAAGAATAGTTGAAACGGAGATGACGGATCTAGAGTTTATTAGCTATGTACAGACACAAAGGGAGATTGCAAAGATCATGTTGATAGTGTTAAGACACAGTATCAGCAGATTAAACAATTTGAACTGGACTCACCTGAGAATTATGTCGTTATCCATATGGATTTTGCAGAAAATTTCTCATGTCGTAGCTCTCAAGAAATATACGGTACTCCGTTTACTAAAACAAAACAGCAGTTACGATGCATCCCGTTGTCTTGTACTATGACCATAATAATAATACACCTGCACACAAAAGTATAGTAATTATATCAGACACATTAGCACACAACGCAAGAACGTTGCTGCATTGCTTGATAATATATTGACAGATATTAAACAATATGGCCCCACTGTTCGAGTATGTCATGATTGAATCGATTCTCTCACTTCCCAATACAGAAACAAACTGATCTGACATCGTTGATTTTTTATAAATGTGGGGCAGTTTGGAATTTTTCGAAAACAGTCACGTAAGAGTCCCTGTGGCGGGTTGAGCGGTATGTTGAAAAGAGAGCCGATGTATCTATCAATAAAGGTAAGACTGTTATCAAGGATGCATACAATTTCTTTAACTGGGCGTCAGAAAAGCCTGATTTCACAGCTGTGGAGTACAAATTAATTTTGTTGGTGAGTCGGTTATAATAGAAAAAGTGAGTGAGCTATCTGAAATTGCACACATGACTTAAAAATATAGAGAAAAAAGAATCCCTAAATAAGCCCATCACGGAAAAATAATAATTTGCAGGCTCGGTTTAATTGAGCATGTTCACGCGTGGGACGGTATGGAAAGTGCAAGCTACTTTCCACGTCCCCAGCACCGGTTTATGCGAATTTCAACAAAGAAACACAAAGCCTTAACCAGGAACCATGAGGTCGCTTGAGGTGGCGGTTGATAACTAAAAGAAGATATGGGTAAGAACCACTAGGTGTTAGTGTAGTATATTTTTGTTGGGTGTGGGCTGAAATGCGTGGATACAAGAACAAACGCGATCATGTGATTGGTCTTTAGGTACACAGGTTTCACATTCTGTTGAGTCCGACAATAATGGTCTTGATCTAAAGGTAGGGTACTAGATGAGAATAAAGGTGAGGTAGAAATATCCTTCATGGAAAAAAAATTTATATCAATGACCAAGCAAGACGCATAGATTGTTTGTGAGTAAGTAAACACAGGTAGCGGAAAGCCAACGGAAACTGGTAAATGCAAACGACTTTTTAAACTACCTATTTTATAGGATGTAAATTGAATGTCACATGAGAACAGTGTTGTGTCTCCTTTGGACCAGGGTTAACGAAGAATCAACAAGAATATTATTGTAGAAGTTTAATAGCTAGGGTGCAATATGTATTATGGATGATTGCACACGCTAATACGATATCTGATGTTCAGAGAAATCACTTGTTTCATTTTGATATTTCAAATTATATTCATTGCAAGTTCATTTGTTGCATATTTTAGTCCACATTACGTTTTGGAAAATTTGAAAATTAGTATATTATTTGCTTTATATTACTAGAGATATTGTTACGATCGCTACTGAAAATCCTTGAAGACATCATTGCTGTATTATGACGTCAGAACTTAATGACATCTTGGTGAAGTTTCATCAAACCCTTTATCTCTAATACAACCTGTAGAAATGATTCATCATAACAGCCATGGAAACAATGGTGAATCCTGTCACAAGGACCAAATAAACGTACATTGTTACTTTGTCCAACATCAGCGCTATCTCCTTCCATGTGAACTGTTTTCTGTATGGCTCCTCGTCTTCTTCAATACTATCCTCTTCAGTGTCCCATGCATGATACTTGTCATTTGTGTCATTTGTGTCAATATCCTCTACCACAGCAACCTTCTTTTCATTGTGAATCTCAACGTCGTCACATGTAACTTTTTGAAACTCATCTTTTGGGAAAGCATTAAAAACAAAAGCTTTGAAAAACTGATGAAAATCTTTAAAAATTTTGGGAAAGGTTTTTTCCCCCAGTGGGCAGTGTTAAAAGGTCGGGGCCAAAATTTTTAGAAAAAGAAGACGTTTGTGGTGAAAAGAAATTAATGTATCTGGTTTCTATAAAATATTTTTTAATTTAAAAAATAATTAAGTGTTTTTTCCCCCCCAACTTTCCCAAAAAAAAATTTGAGTGGTAATTAAAATAAACTCCCCGTTTTTACGGGCCCGGGTTTTTTTTTTTTTTTTTTTTTTTTTTTTTTTTTTTTTTTTTTTTTTTTTTTTTTTTTTTTTTTTTTTTTTTTTTTTTTAAGAATTTTTTGGTAAATAAACTTTAACACAAGGTGTTGTACAAGGATATCTGTACATAGGTTTCAATTTAATTGAAAAGTTTAACAATTTTTGGATGACCTTTTCAATTTAAGTAATTAATTGTTTATACCCTAATTCACATATTTTTTCATTGAACTTTTAAAAACCTTAAAATTATTAAAATAAACAAATACATAACAGATGAAAAAGATATTGTTTTGGAATACTTTCAATATAAGAACTAATGACAGCATAGGGCAAATATATAAAGTTTAGGCCAATCCAAACTCTTTCACCTAGACTCTGGACTAGTTTGAATATTGCTACCTGTTGAGGACAAAGAAATAAAATAATTATTTTTCCATGTGGTCCATGTAATTTGTTCAATCTGGAATTACAAATTTATTACAATTAAAAATTTGTTAAAATGTCATACCTTTTAAAGCTTTTTGATTGTCCTACTAACTATTACTTTTTACATGAAAACCTCTTTCGTGATTATTTAGAAGACAATCTGGAGATATTACATTAACAGTTCAAATTTTGAAATATTAAAAATTTCTGTATTTTTCATTGTTATGGTTTAGCGGGTATAAATTTAAAATTAACATATTTATGGGAATGGCCCTGCTTTTGTCCAATCCATTAAGTAATTAAAATTTTTTTAGGTGCTTAAATCACAGGAGTACTTGGGTCTTCTTCCAATAAAGCTGGAATCACAAATGATCTTTACGGTGAATGTGTGCGTTAAAAACAACCAACGATGTTCCTTAAAAACAATGATTATTTTATGTTAAATCCCAAAAATAGTTCGTAAATAATAATTATTAATGTTTAAAATTTCTAAAATCTTCATTTTTGTTGAAAAAGAGCACGCCATTACAAACCATAAGGGTTTTGACAGCATGGATCAGCAGCCTGCGTTTCATTTTTGTTTATTTTATGCTTGGTTTGTAAACGATAGCATGGATCCTGATCGACTGGCGCCCTGGTTGGATCCTGCTTTTCGCAAATGCACTATTTTGGTTTTGTCGGCGCGGCTCAATACAAAACAATAAACGGCTATATCTAATTTACGTTCGTAAGAACCCATTACACTGGGAAAAAAGTGTTCAGCATGTGAAACAAAGGTCGCCGCCGGAATGTGAGCGTGAAGATAAGCCGACTAAAACTCTCAAATTCTCTCTCGGCAACGACGGAGGAATATTCTTTGCTCAAGTTCCATTTTACCTTATTCTGAAAAATTTAATGTAAATTTTATAATATTGCCTACATGTTTAGAATAATCTTTTTAAAAATATGGTTGGCGAAGAAAAGTTAAGGAAATTGTAAATTTTTAGCAAGGAGCTCAATGGATTGTGTTACTGAATTTAAGAAAACCTACTTTTATTGATTGTTATGGGGAAATAAAGGGTTTTTCAATAACGTGCCTTAGTCAATTACCATTCTTTTTATTCTCTTTTTGCCTGTAAAATTTTGATTCAACAACTTTTTTATCAGTGACAAAATTCTTAACAGTGCCCATTTTATATGGTTTGAATTTTATGTGAATAGCTGACTCGATGAATTTAAATTTATTATACGTTAATAAATGTATTTACAAATTGCTAGCTCAATTGGCCTATAGTATTTAAACTACGAAATTTACAAAGGATGATATTTTAAAACGTACGTATATGTTAAAATTTAATAAAGTTTCCTATATAATAAGTTCTCCTAGATTTTGTTATTTCAAATTTTTATGATTTGTACATAGCAAACTTCGACATGGTATTTTCGACTTTTGAAAGGTCAAAGGGTATGTCGGAAATCGCTATATAATCTCTATATAATCCGTAAGTTTCTAAGATTTATGCTAGGTTTAATGTGCTAATCAATTAATTTTTTTATGTTATCGTACCTTGATAAAACGACGTTACTATTTGCTTGTCATCAAAATCGAGACTGACTTCGTTGGCAGTGTATGACCATGAACTGAGAATGACGTCACAAGTCTGTGTATCCAACGGCCAGTATGTGACAGAACTCTGACAATGTGTGGTGAAAATTCCAGCTGCAAGAATAAAAGAGAGGTATATTCTGTATTATTTGTATACATAATTTATTTGCAAAAAAAACTATTAAAGGATGTTTTTATGTTCACGCCAAGTGTTATTGATTTGCTCTGAACGTTTATGATATCAATGATTGGAAAATGTGGGAATAACTGATATAGATGTGATATTAATAAAACTATTCATTTGTAATTATCTTAACCAGGGCCAGTCCCGATGCTTGCATCAAAGTTAATTGAATAAATTAAAATGTTGATTATCAGTAAGGATAAATTTTACTTAAAGGGAAAGGTGACATTTAGTTGTTATTTTTTACATGAAAAAACAAAAATTTCTGTTTGAAGTCTTAAATACCAATAACTTATGTGCATCAGAAACTATAAGGTCATGTCAACGATGAATATAATACTAAATAAAGGACATATTTGAGCCGCGTCATGACAAAACAAACATAATGCGTTTGCGACCAGCATGGATCCATCTGCGCAGTCTGATCAGGATCCATGCTGTTCGCTATCAGATTCTCTACTAGTGATATGGTTTGTAAGCGAACAGCATGGATCCTGATCAGACTGCGCGGATGCGCAGACTGGTCTGGATCCATGCTGGTCGCAAACCCATTACGTTGGTTTTCTCGTGACGCGGCTCATTTATTGTATTACCTGGTAGCCATACTATTTTACCAATGCTAATAATTCTCATGGGAACACTTGGCCTTGAAATAACATCAATGTCATCAACTCTGAAACGCAAATTACATACATGTGATTCATATACTTTAAATGAACAGAGAAAAAAACGGAATCCCTACAAAACGACAATATTGAACGTGATACAAGCTTGGTTAATTGAGTCTGTTCATGGACGGTATTGGAAAGTGCAAGTTACCGTACACCCCCTTTACCACCGGCTTAAGCAGAATTAAACATGGTAATGGTGAATTTTTGAATTTAGAAAACATCCATAGTGTGTGGCCTTAACGAAAAAACAATGGGAGGAAGTAAATAAAATGGAATTTTGAAAGGGGATCAGAGGTTATGAAGCCTGCATATCACAGATTAGACGTCGAAGTTTGCCATGTACAAATTCTACTGAGTTATGTACAATTATGTTTAGTCATTTCTTGATAGTCGGTCAACCTAACCGTCTGTCCTGGGTAACTAACCAGTAATTACCAATTTCTCCCACAACATGGCTTCTGAAATAACTAATCAACTGCAACGGGGTAATGCCGCCACGTCCGAAGATCTAGCCTTGTTTACAAATCCAGTGTTCTACCATATATATATTCTAAATGTTAGAATAAAAAACTTACGAATTTTCAATGATGATCGGAGGCTTCCAAACATGTAATTCATTACTAAACATAAACTTTATATTGCTATATGTGTCGTTCGAAATCCATGCCAGCCTTATATCCTTCCACGACTGAAATTAAAGTCAATTCATTTATTATAATAATAAATTATTGAAAGAACAGCAACCCCTAACGTCATTTGTTAATTTTTAAATTAACATTTTGATTTTTTAAAGATATTCAATGAAATAAATAAATACTTCTAAAGTTTGCTTATTGTTACTAATTCATATTTATCATATACGCATGTCACTTCTGCGATTCCGTAAATGGTATCGCAAGATCGTGCGTGTATTTTAACGTGACGCCATTTGCGTTATACAAACGTAGTGTAAAGATTGATAAATGTTAGCGTTACACTAAAGGCGCGTCAATGAAAAAAAAAATTCTTTTTCACTTTTTAAACGGTCTTTATTTTGGATAAGCGAAAAATAGAATATTAAATTTGTATAAGTTCAATACTGAATTTATTGAACTGACATTTCATTCAATATCCTATTTCAAGGGTAAATTATTTTTATCTTTAACGTCAACGTCAACGTTAACGTCTTTTAACTTTGTAATTTTTTTTCTCAAAAAAGAACAAAGTTTTGAGGTTATATCAAGCACCCACGCTTCCTTGCTCTTACCACTTAATGTTAGCAAAGAGGACAATCAGGTTTGACCCTTGGTTACGAGACAATAAAAAAAATAAACATAGTACTTCCACACCTCTTATAAGAAAAAATAAAAAAAGAACCCGTACAGAACACTCAAAATAGCAGAAATTAAAAAATACCGTAGCCTCGTTTTGATTGAGCCTGTTCATGGACGGTATTTGGAAGTGCAATCTACCTTCCATGCCCCCTAGCACCGGCTTAAGCAGAATTCAACATATTAACATTTAAATATAAGTTTTAATTATCTTCCTTACTAATTATGAGTTGAACATTTTATGAATTGTCATACACTCAACTTACTCTAACACTATTCAAAAACATTGCATATTATTAATAATAATTTGAATTGTAACTTGTTAAATGGTCCAATATAACTTCAGTGAGAAAAATAAATTCACCCATTCACAATTGTCGTGTATATTGAAAACATAAACATTACAAAATGAAATCCCCATTTTAAAGGAACTCCACTGAGGTTTATAAGCCTAAAAACATAAAATTTAAATTTTTCACATAGATAAACATGAGCACTTAAAAAGAGAAATATTAATAAAATATAACCAAGAAATATACAAGAAATACATTGAAAATCATATGTTTGTGCTATTCTCAGTCCGATTTGAGTGAAAAGCGTTTAAACGCTTTTCAATTTTGGGTCATTTTTCACTATTATAATAATTATTCTGGAAAAACGGAGCAAGCTAATGATCTGAAATTTTGCACATAAGTTATTAGTATAGATCTACATCAAATGGAGTAATAATCTCAAAAAAAAAATATTTCCAGTCCCGTCATGTCAAAAAACCTCAGTGGAGTCCCTTTAACAACTTGCAGTCTTATAAAATTGTACGCCATTATTATTGTTTTATAATATTTAAATGTGCATTATGCATCAGGAAAAGCTGTCATTTTCATTTTTCAAAAACTTTTATTTTTTGTTATATTGTTACAGTTCCAAAAAGATGAAACTCATTTTCCACATAGATGAACTATGTTTTGTTGGCAACAGGTATAATTAAAGTGAATTATTATTTTGCATTGAAACTAAAATACTATTTTGTTTGCATTTTGCTATCGTAAATCGCATTACTTCACGTCCTGTGCCTACTTTTGTGAGTTGTTAAACACATGGTTGACATTTCTAAACAACATATATAAAAGATTTGAATTTCTAAGGCATAAATAATGAATAATCAGGCGTCTTCCTATTTATTGAATAATTTCATTTTATCGTCAGATGTTCATACTCGCATTTTGCGTTCATCATCTGATTTTCAACTTTATACCCCTAGACCTAATTCTGAACAATTTCGTAAGTCTTTTGTTTATTCTGGATCTTGTATTTGGAACGGCTTTCCTGGTTATATTAAGTCTGCTACATCTGTTAACCATTTTAAAACCTTATACTTGAGGTTTTATCATGCATTGATGTATACAAATTGATAATCTCCTGTATGTTTTTACATTTATGTATTTTAATAGTTTGAATATGTTAAATTTATATTATTCCTTGTTGAGGGCCTCATGGATTGATATGTTTGTTCAAATGAGTTCTCTCGTTAAATAAAGTCTTTATTATTATTATTATTATTATTATTATTATTATTAATATTATTATTATTATTATTATTATTATTATTATTATTATTAGTATTATTATTATTATTATTATTAAATGTGCCTTTTTCTTAGTAATTGTTCTAGTAATTATACATTAAAAATTTCAAGACTGAAGTATGGTAATTATTTAAGAGGCGTTTAGTTCACGCTTTTTAAATGTCTATTCGATATATTTCACATGCCAAAAAAAGCTTATTTTTGCAGTAGAGATCAATTACTCTATATAAATTATTGAACAGGTCTCATAAAATTCACAACATTAAACAATTATATTAGTTTTAATGAATTTACTGTGTTCTTTTTTACACACTTATTATTTTCTTTAATAACCGTTTACATTACAGTAATTTTTCAATAACTTAAATGATAAAGCAACCATACTTTGCCACATTTTTTGGAGGAAGAAAACATATCTATTGTATGCTAATTAAAATATACATATTTTGATCTTTTGTAATCCTGTAATTTGTTATTCAAATTCAAAATAAAATGAAGACCAGTGTATTTTGTTTTTATACTTTGTTAAAGAATTTACTTTTTACTTTTCATAATAATAAACCGATTTCTTTCAAGTCAATATTGTTATGTTTGTATAAATTATTTGTGCTTTAATAGTGCATAGAGAAATATTAAATGAGTGTTGATTTTTTACTAAGTTTATTGACTGTGTTGGGTAAAATCGTATTATGCGAGCTTCTATCGAGCATAAAATTGTTTTATTCAACGAGTTCACGATATTTAGTATACGTGTATAACACACTAATCCAAAATAAGAACCGTTTACGGCTGAAATGAATCATATTTTATTGACGCGCCTTTTATTTAGTGTACCGCTAGCATTAGCGCGGTTTAACATTACGCAAATGACGCCACATCAAAGTGTCATTAGGCTACAGTAGCGTAATATTAACGTTTTTAATAAATTTCTTAATTACACTATAGCATCGTATATTTCTTAATTACACTATAGCATCGTATATTTCTTAGTTACACTATAGCATCGTATATTTCTTAATTACACTATAGCATCGTAGATTTCTTAATTACACTATAGCATCGTATATTTCTTAATTACGCTATAACATCGTATATTTCTTAATTACACTATAGCATCGTATATTTCTTAATTACACTATACCATCGTATATTTCTTAATTACACTTTACCATCGTATACTTCTTAATTACACTATACCATCGTATCAGATTGCCGAGTGAATTGTTCTTTCTCTTTTGTATCATAGGCAAAAAAAACGTGCCCTGTCGCCGCAATATGAGATCCCAGAAATAAGTAACCAATGTACGAATATCTGATAATGACTTTTCTATCGTTATCTCTTTCCCTGTCGTCGCAATATGTAACCCCAGAAAAAAATGGATGACAGAATTTCAACAGAAAAGGTCCCCAAACTATGATACAACTAATAAAAGCTATTACTTTTTTGAATCTCAATGAATGGCATATAAAAAACATATGCTTGAATTTAATTGACTAGATAATTAAATTTAATATTTATATTGTGTGTTGATTGTGTTAGAAGTTATAATCATTTATAAAGTTTCTTTTTTACACTTTATGAACGACATTGTGAGTGAATGAGTTTGAATAAGTAATCTGAGTTAAAAATATCCCTTTGCTTTTAAAGTCGTATACATGTACACAAGTAAACTATTAGATATACAGGAAAGTATAAAATAACTATTATACTTACAATTGAAAAATAAGCAGCTATAGACAGTTTTTGTTCTTTGATATCCTGAAAATTAAACAAAGAGATAAACGTAACCTAGGCGTTCCATAGATTCAGAACAACAAATAATCAGTAACATTATAGATACAATTATGATAAAGGATATTCACATTTGGATTACTTCTCCACTGTTGTCTAAGAACGTCAATATATGAAATTTGAATGTTTTACATATAACAGCTTCGGCACTTGAAACAGGAAGATTTGCAAAAGATATGTAAGAAATATACTCAGAAGTAAATTCAAAACCATATTTCTGTTCTATTCATAGCCAAATTTGAGTGATAAGCGTTGCAACGCTTTTAAATCTTTACTCATATTTTACAAATAGAAAAATTATTCTTGAACAAATGGAGCGAATGATCTGAAATTTTGCAAGTTATTGGTTTAGATCTAGATGAACTCGAACATTAATCTCGAAAAAAGATTTCCAGTCCCGCCATGTTAAAAAGCCGCAGTGGATTACCTCTCAGGGTTGTTAAATATTGTTTTGTTTTATTTATACATTATTCTGTATTATCCATCTTTTTTGTATGTCAAAAGAAATATAAAACATTTACGTTAAAATTGCTAAACATTAGTTTCATTTGTTGATTCTAGTATCAAGTGCAATTTTTTTTATTTCTCCTCTAATACACATTTCCGTACAGAATCTGTTTTGTTATTATTATAGCTTGTATATTATTCTTCAAGCTACATTTATTTGGTCAATGCGGGGAGTTTGGAAATCAAACCTCAAAAATGAATTGAATATCTGTTTATGAACAAAGGTTAGCGCCAATGTATAGCCTATTTACTGTTTTGGACTATTGCTGCGGTCCATGAAAAGCATTTTCACAATGTCAACTTTACTAAACACTTAAGCCTTTACGTATATTCCACCCGTAAAAAAGATCATATGCAGGAACACACACACCGTAGACTTGAGATCATTGTCAAAGAGAGTTAATTATTTGCTAGACAGGTCAGGTTTCGACTTTAAAAATATCATCGGAACACCTTCCCAGTTTATTGAACAAAGTGCCAGGCCATCTATATTATATAGATGCGCCTGTAGGTAATTTAAAAAAATGGATTGCCTGGAATATAACATATATTTATATACTTACTAATGAATTAAGTGACAACAGATTTAAAGATACCCGGACGTCGTTCTTCTTCATCGGGCGTTGCATTACTTCGTAAGAATCAAACAACCATTGTCGAAGGTCCGTCTCAAGCTCTTTAGAATAGACTGGTGGTACTTTGGCTTCGACATACACAACACACAATACTAAAATAGAAACAATACCGTAGAACATATGAGCCGTGTCACGACAAAACCAATAGTACGTTTGCGACCAGCATGGATCCAGACCAGACTGCGCATCCGCACAGTCTGATCGGGATCCATGCTGTTTGCTATCAGATTTTTCCTTGTAATAGGGTTTGTAAGCGAACAGCATGGATCCTGATCAGACTGCGCGGATGATCAGACTGCGCGGATGAGCAGGCTGGTCTTGAACCATGTTGGTCGCAAACCCATTATGTTGTTTTTGTCGTGACGCGGCTCATTTTGTTGTTTCAGCTCCAGTTCTATCGTTTTCATTAACGGGTATAAATCTACATCTTATGAACTAATTTTTATAAAACTTATCAAAAGTAAAATCACATTGGTGCCATCATTATATGGTTGATTTCCAAATAAGTTGTAATACAGACTGTCTCTGTTATTTAATACACATGAATAATGTACGTAAACAGAATAAAATGTTCCAGAACAAAATTTTATTTGTTATAATTATATTAAAATTCATCCGTTTAGCAAGGATTTTGTGCATGCGTCATTTGCTTTTAATGCCATGCTTATTTCATTCAAGCGTTTTGGAAGTATTCTTTTTTTTTTAAATTTAAACAATATTTTTTGAAGCAGATATATAGCTTTATACACTTTAACCACCCCTCGCTATCCCTTCCCCGGTTCAAAATATATGACATCAGCTATTTTCTATACATTTTTATATATTATTATTAGATATCATTGTTATTGCTATAACATGAATATTATTTTCACAAACAGTTTAATTTGTTAATGTGTCCGCGAAAATTAAAGTGAAAAAAAAAACTTACATAGAACACATAATTGTAATCCATGTCTGTTATTCCCGAACGTTATCATTTTCTATCATCCAAATTTACTTAATGAACACTTATAAAACACAAATAAAATAACCAAATAAACAACGAACTCACTTATAAAACTGTTTAAATTTTTCTTAACGCAATCAATTCGATGCAAATAAAATAACAGAACAAAAAAGAACGAAATTATTAAATCGTTAACTTTTTCTGTAACTCAATCAATTCGATATAGTTAAATGGCTCATTAAATTACAAGACTTTTCATTTATAGACAATATTAGACAAACGATTATAAAAAATAAATATTGAAACGTGAGCTTAAAATAACAATTGCCTTTATTCAAAAGTTCGATCGTAATCCCTTTTATATTTGCATTCTCATATTATTATTTAGGTTTTATTTATTATGGTTTAATTGTTTGTATTTTACAAAAAACATATAAATACTGTTCAACGATTTTTCATTAGCAAAACAAATACAAATATTTCTCAGATGTCTTTTTTCCCTAGCAATGATCGGTATTATTACTTGTAAGCGGGTATTTTATCAAAGAATATAACGATTTTCAATGTTGATCAAATTAATTTCTTTTTCAATATAAAGTCCTATAATGAATGTTTTATCAGAGTGTGTATATCAATATTTTTATAGATTCTTATCGACTGTAGCAAGGTAACTTTAGGACTGGCAGTAAATTAACCTTATTAATCCTTAAGATATATTATTAGTTTTAAAAAAAATGACAGGTTATATGGCTCTTAGTATAACGGTTGTTTGGAAATATATCCGAGCCGCCAGGCGAGGTTTATATCGCAAACAACCGTTTGTATACGGTCATATAACCTGTCAAGAATATTTATAACGAATTTATATTAAAGCCTACTCCTTTTAAAGAGAAAAAACGATAGCAGCCGTGTATAGTATTAGTTATAAAGACGTTTGACTGGTTATATGACCCAATATAAACGGTTGTTTGTAAATATACCCCGAGCCGCTAGGCGAGGGATATTGCAAACAACCATTTATATACGGCCATATAACCTGTCGGGAATATTTATTACGAATTTATAATACTGCAAACTTCTTTTTAAGAGAAAAAGCAAGAATTCTTTATAAATGGACAGCGGTCGTATAGATAAAACTATATAAAAGTCACGATTATCGAGTGAAAAGCAACGTTACAATCGTGCAGTATTATAAAATGTCTTAAGATTAGTATCAATGCCAGAGGTTGCCGAAAAACTTGACGTATGCGACCTTTTTAATGACTTTGTATCATAAATGCAGAATGCGTTATCTGGAATGCAGTACTATTAGTTTCCCGCTCATTGATTGGCTCATTTTTCTGGTGTTTACTTAATGTGACGAGAGAAAAGGGATAACGATAGAAAGTGATATTCAGGTGCTCGTTAATTGGTTATTTTTTTCTTGGTTTCATATTTTAACAACAGGGAACGTGTTTTTTTTTTTTTTTTTTTTTTTTTTTGTTTTTTTTTTTTTTTTTTTTGTTTTTTTTTTTTTTTTTGCTTATGTTTGACTTAAGTACTGTATATCTATAACATGTTAATCCATGTAGCGTAAAATTATCATTCGTTAATTGGTCTTTTGCTATTATAGCGGAATTTTATTGTGTATTAGGCAAATACTTGGAAGACGACTGCATGTGTGTCGATAAAAAGATTTTTGCGATGCACTTATTAACGTACTGAAATTTCCCATCTTCAAACATTTTTTGCCAGGGGTGTTGGTGATGGTAGTTTTCACTCCGGATCACGACAATAAGTCACACTGAATTCAATAGAGCACAGTTCAGCCACCGCATTGTTCCTTGCAAGCTGTCAATCAGATACCAGTACTAGTTTCTTTCACTTCCGCAAGTTACTCATAACTTTCGTACATGCAAAAGCAGATCTAAGTAAGTGTGAATGGCCGTTGAAAGGATTTCATAATCAATTACAACGTAAGTGACCTGCACCGTCCGGGAATTGAACCCTGGTCGCCTGATTCTCAGTCCAACGGTCAACGTATTGAGTTAACCGGGCGGCAACTTTTGCTACAGTAACATATTGAAAACTGTTAAGCATAATTTAATAGGACTTATTTAAACTTGCACGATCTTTGTATATGCTATGTTCAATACATATTTAAAGCCAACAATACGGGTTACCGAGCCCATGTTCGAGTTATCTCTCTTCGATACTATGGCTCATAAACCATAAACGTTACCAGTGGATATAGATATACATGGAATATTTAGAATAGGCTGTCCATTATGAATGTATAACGTGTAACCTATAAAATGTGTCACGGAAGGACTGAAATAAGAAAAACACTAATTATAAGTCCCGATAAACATTTTGGGGAACAAATAATTTGTTCTCAATTTCGTGGTGCAGATGCAAACCTTCGGTCTCGCGAGATATCGTGAGATCTCTTTTTTCACACACTGCGAGTAGCAAATTACATCGCATTAGTAATACTTCTGAACAAAATAATTTTCCTTTTATAATATAACTGTAAATTCTAAGACAAAGAGAAGTCCAATTAACATTTATTAGTTATTTAAAAAAAATATAACAGTCAAAATATAATATTGATGAATAACGGATGAATACATCATGTTTGCAAAAGAGCCCAGTAGCATTGGTTCCAATTTCAAATATACAGCTAAGATGGGAACCAACGGGGAGAAAAAAGTTCGACCCTTTCGTATATGGTACCTTATATGAATTTTCTGTCCGCTGAATTGTATCGGCGCTTCGATAACATTTATAGGTGTATAGTCAAAATAATTAAGTAAAAATAATTGCATTTTAACCTTTGCCTATAATAATGTATTCACTAATGGTTTTGGGTATGGGGGTATTCGGTATTTGTAGATAATGCCAAGAACCTCTCTTGAAAAGGTAAGTTTTACTCAATTAAATCCGCATTGTAAATATTTATGCAATTCTTAGCCTTCCATTATACTCATCGAAAGATGTACGATTGAAATATCATGATAAAAATGTTTACTAAGAGAGGCAACCCTTACAAAAATAAAAAATTTAGACTCTAAAGAGTTACGCGCTCCAATCTTTTAGCCGTTTTAGCATCAAGGGAAATTACTGTTGTGACCAGTTGTAAGAACACACTTAATCCAATAAAGGTCTTTCACTCTTTTTTCTACAGTTAAAACTAGCAAAATGATAACAACGCTAGCATCCAAATTTCTTGAACATAAATTGTACTTTTTAGTACCCTATGAAAGAAACTGTGGTCTTTTTGTTCCTCTTTAATTATTGTAAAAAATAACAATTTGAATGCTCGCTGAAGGGATGTTTAATGAAGATATGACAAAATCTATATTTTCCTTTTTATCCCCACCTTTTTGTAAGTATCTATTTGTTTGCGTATTTGCGTATTTGTTTATAGTTCATTAACTAGTAAATCATGTGTACATATTAAAGGGAGACACAGGCAAAATTATTAATTCTTCGTTTTGAACTTTTCATTCATTATTCTGAAAATGTCGTTAAAATGAATACACTGGGCAGTCACAGAAACAAAACTTTTCTCCTTATAAAGAATAAAATGGTTGTTTACTAACATGAAGATTAGAGCGCTAAATTTCCAAATAGTTGTCACAGTGAACAGAACATGTCAAATGAATTACTAAGACTCGTATTAGTAATACAATATCCACAATATCTGTTATTGTAACTTCCAGGGTTTGTTCAAGTCAAATAGTGGGAATAACCCCTAAAATGACGGCAAGGGGGGGGGGGGGTAATATAATTGCCACGTGAAAAGCATCTATTGATATTTAGGTTCGCACTCATCCAGTTAGATAGGTCCCATGAACATCTAAATTCTAATCCCTCTTTACGGATCAGGGGAGCTAACTGCTGCGGGAAGTTTATCAAACGCCTCACAGTGATAACCTCCCTTGGCAGAATTTGTACTGATAAGGAGATGTTGCTGCGATTGGCAGTTATATATTATTGCATCGGTACATCTCGGCTATTATCAATTAGATCCGAAGACTGACGGAAAGGGCCGAAAAGTTGCGATTGATATTCTTGATGGTGTTATAATATCTCCAATATAACTAACGAACTCGCTTCTGAATACTTCTATATAACAGCATTCAAGGAACTGAGTACTTTACACAATATTTTGTTGCACGAATACTGTAGTTGGTGGGGCTACTGAAAATGACGGCATATGTGAAGGCGGTATCATCTTTGAAAAACAGTTAATGTTTATAAATATAAAACGCGGGTTAATTTACTCCTCATCTGGATATTAAGATTTTTTTTTACCTATGCGAGTTATATTTTTATTACTTAGTCAATTTTTTTTGTTATGTCTATTTTTTTAAACCTTCATTCTCCCTTTGCCACCTTGAAGGAAATATAACAACAAAATGCGTTCTGCTCCTAATTTCTTTATTATAAAATTCTTGTAATACAATTGCGTGGCAGTACAGACCTTTTTCCGTTGTTTTCAAATACAATAATACACGAGTATCCATGTTGATTCTATGATATAAAATTTATTGTTTATTTAATTACATAAATCACGCACAGAAACAATACTGTAAGACGAGTTTGAAATAAAGAAAAAACTAGTAACAAAATTCCACGAAAAAAACAACAACATAATTATGTGGAATCACTTTTCATCTAAAAACAAATTAAGAATTTTATAAAGGTATAATACAGGTTGAAGTTAAATAATTAAAATCAGGATATGTGAAAAAAATCTTACACGGTACATGTCAAGATCTGACAGTATACCTTTAAAAACAGAATTGATCACTTTGAAAGACAAACAGTAAAATGAATATATGCTATATTCAAAAATTATATAATTTAATGTGGTATTAAAATAGTATATACATGCACTTAGCTGTAAATTTACATATTGCACTGTAAGTGTATGTCAAAAATGACATTGACATGTTATACATATCGTATGATATAATACATTATGTATAAATATATTCGAGTTTAAGTTAGCGTCTCCACAATACCGGTGTATATATTTTACAAGAAGTATTTTCAGGTAAAATATCACTCACCTGAAAAAAAGTTTTAAAAAAAACCTTGATAAGCATCTATCCCTCTTTAAGATACGTTCTTATGATGTTTTATATACTGTTGAGTACAATAGTGAATTCTATTAAACGAGTTCACAACTGTCAAACCTATATTGGACAAGGCGCTGTCCGAGTCCGATATAGGTTTTTGAATTGTCTACGAGTCCAATAGAACAGTATGTTCTCTGCTATGTATAATGATACTTATTTCACATTTTTTTAGACATTTGGTAAGGATTTGATATGATTTTTTGGATTGTAAACTTGAAACGAGGCTATATTTGGTACGATATGCATTTGATATGGATTTTTGAAAGTAAATGTAAACGAAGCTATATGGGATATGATATGCATTTGATATGGATTTTTGAACTCTTAAAATGAATAAGAGGCTAAATTGATAAAATTTGTTCCAAGAATATGAGATTATTTTACATTATTGAGTACAATACTGCATTATATTGGACGAGTACACAGCTCTAAAACCCATAATGACCGAGGCGCTGTCCGAGTCGGATAAAAGTTTTGAAGCTGCGTACGTGTCCAATATAATCAGTATTGGTCATAGCCATGTTTATTGACCTCATAATTAACACTATCGTCTTTTGTTGTTTTTTTTTACATTTACGTCAATCACAATAAGGATTGTATATGTATTTTTGACTCTTACAAATCATAAGGAGGCACGATGATGTGCGATATGGATTTGATATGAACATTTTGGACTTGAAATTAGAACGCGGCTATATATTGTGTGATATGGATTTGGACTGTTGATATGATTGTAACCAATAATCATCCCTACTGGAACATCACGTGGTACAAATGCTGAAAGAGCATTGATAATATTTTATAAGGTGTGAAATGGTGCTTTCTTTGAAAATCTGGTGGTTTAAACGCTGAAGGTTTATTTATATTCTATAAGGTGTGAAATAATATCAGGTTATTTTACTTTATTAAGTAATACTACATATTTTCACGATTTAACACCTGTCAAATTCATACTGGACGAGGCGAGAAGTAAGTCTGACAAAAGGCTAGATCAGAAAATGATTTTTATTGGAACGGCGACTGATTTAAACGCTGAAAGCTCATTGGATTTAGTTTACATATTTAAGGTGTGAAGTCAAAGCTAATATTGCACTTTATACCTCTCGATACTCATTCACTATGCTGCACAGCAAGAAAGTGATAGAAATGGCAAGTAAATAAGGATTAAAGACAAAAATCGCATCAAAAACTTTCAAATTGCAGTAAAATTATCATTATTTTTTCTTAATGTAAACAGTCAACAGGTGGTGAGAAAATTGCAAGATATATCAATACACCGGTACCGTGGAGCCACCGGTAGTAAGGGGTTCGAGTATAACCCATATTGCACTGTCCGGCTAGTGAATGAAGAACAATTTATTTCAAATCATGCAAAAAAAAATCTTACATAAAGAATAATATATTTATCAAATAAACTTTTAAGTAAACAATAAACAAAACAATCTGAATTGTTTTTTTAACTTTCAAATTCGACAAATGTATGATTTGCAAAGCATAACTTATAAGATTGCGCTGATATAACTTAATTATAATATAATAGTTTAATGATAACCAGGAAACTTTATTGATCATCAAAATAAATATACATGTATAACAAAATGTAGAAATAAGTTAATGAACTTAAATTACAGTTGTATATTATACCTATAGTAAATAAAAAATAAATCTACGTTTCTAACGGACACATTGTTGTTGTTTTGTATAATCCAACTACAATTGATGATCAGATCACCATCATTTGTGAGTTGTTGTTGTTGTTATTGTTGTTGGAATCTCGTGCATGTTAAGTTTTGCAAGCATTTGCAATTCAAATGTTCTCTGATACTGCCATTTTGGTATCTGGCCTCGCAATATTTAGAAAGACTTTATAACATAACCTAAAATACCGTCATACACATTGAGTCATAAATATAGAAAGCCGCACTTTTGTAAAAACATACTTAGTTTGTATATATACAATGTACACTTAACACTTTACCTGCCGAAATTCCTTCAGTAGACTTGCCCAGCAATCATCTTTTCTTTTGGAACTGTCCATTATCATTTTTTGGGGATATTTTGATGAAACGTTTGCCAACGCTATAGAGCCTGGTCAGAAGACACGTGTGTTCAGGCTGGCCTGGCTCTATACTGGTGTCTTAGACCATTCAGTCTGGCCTGGCTTTATACTTGTGGCTTAAGCCATTCAGGCTGGCCAAGCTGTATAGAGCCTGGTCAGACGTGCCGGGTGTTCAGACTGGCTCTGTACTGTTGGCTTCCGCTATACAGGCTGGCCTAGTTTTATACTGGTGCCTTAAGCTGAATTCAGGCTGGCCTGGTTTAATACTGGTGGCTTAAGCTGAGTTCAGACTGGCCTAGCTCTATACTTGTGGTTTAAGCTGAGTTCAGGCTGGTCTCGTTCTATACTTGTGACTGAGGTTGTTCAGGCTGGCCTGGCTCTATACTGGTGGCTAAGGCTGATCACTTTGAGATTTCAGCAGGTAAAGGGTTAATTCTTTTATATCAAACAAATGCATTTATACAACTCTTGTATAAAAAATCATCACATTCGAACCTTTTTTTTTTTGCTATTCATTGTACCGAGAATAAAATAAAGTTAATTTCAAAAATGAAATATTTTGTGTAAGGAACAGTTCGTTCCTAAAAATCTAATAATTAAAAACATTTCTAAAACTATTTTTGTCTGATAAAAGGTATCCTTTTTTCCTTATTTTAACAAAGTCACTTTCGCGTTTCAGCTAACAATCTAAAATAATGTTATGAAATAACTATAATCAAAGTTAAATCTTATTGCAATTTTTTACAGATAAAAATTATAACGTCAGATTAGCTAAAAAAAAAGCCAGTGTCTAAAGATATCTAATGAGTTCAATGAGAGGAAATATTTTTACATCTTCATTATAATTTTAAAAAAGGAAATTACCTTAGTATTACAAAAAAAGCGGTTGAAAAAAGTATAGATTTTGGTAAAAGTAAATATAAAATATAAAAACTTTAGTTGCAAAAGCGGGCACGTAATTTTCGATATTCATTTATTATTTTTTAAGTTTTTTTTTCAATATCGTACAAAAAACAAAAAAAATTTGTAAATTGTCGATAAAAGCGAAATAGCGCATGCGCGAATTATCGTATTTTTAAAAATAAGATATAGTTAAACTTTAAATTTTTAAAAATTGTTCAGGAGGTTTTTTCATTCTATATTCATAAACAAACAAGTGTTTGTTCAATGACAGTAAAACTTTTTTTTTAAACGGGAAAAAATAAATTTTTACAACTTTTTTAAGAAATCCAATTTTAATTTTAAAAAAAAAAAAAAAAATTTTTTTGCATTAGAAGTTTTGTTTTTAAAAAAAGAAAAAAAATTTTTAAAAAAAGGGAAAAACCTTGTGGTTCTTTTCGATTTTTTAAAATTTTAAAAAAAAAATAAAAAAACCTACAAAGGTTTTTGAACCAAAATTTTTAATATTTTAAATTCTTTAATAAAAAACGATTTTTTTATTTTGGGGGAAAAAAATTTAAAAGGGAAAAGGTTAAACCCCCAAAAGTTTAAAAGAAAATAATGGTTTTTTTTAATTTTTTTTAAAAAATTTTTTAAAAAAAAAAGGGGGAAAAAATTATTTCAGTTTAAAAAAAATTTTTCCCTTTTTAATTTGAAATTTTTTTGCCTTTTTGTTTTTTTTTTGGTTTTTTTGGGATTTCGTTTTTCCCCAATATTAAAAAACTAACTTTCATACAAAAATTTTTAAAACTTCCCGAAAAAGTTTTCAACAAAAAAATTTCACAAAAAAAAAAAAATTTTTTTTAAAAAAATGGGGTTCCCCAAAAAATGTTGGGGGTTTGGAACTGGATAACCGCCTGCCATTCCGAAAATTTCAAAATTTGCTGTTTTCTATAGTTTTTCCATGGTTTTTTTGGGGAAAATGGGGTTTTACGCCCGGGGGCATGGCGGCCCACCCCGGGCCCCAAACCAAAATTTGGGTTTTTTCGGGGCCCGGGTCTATTCTTTTTAAAAAAAAACGTTAAAAAACTTTAAATTTTAAAATAATTTAAAAAAAAAGGGAAAAAATTTTATCAATATTAATGAAACACATTCATTTCTTCAAGAAATGCTCTTTCCACTTGAGTACCGTCGTAATTATTTTGAGTGTTAATCAAAAATAATAATAATAATGATTTTATAATGACAACAACAATTATGTTTGGTTTTATTTGCAGACGTAAAACATTTACATATACGTCAAATCTTATCAATGTGACGTAAATGACGTCACATTGCTCGACATAGATTTATGAAAACAATGCGAATTTTATAGTTTTGCTTTTAGACTGTAAATTATCTTTACTGACCATCATTTTATTTTGTGTGAAAACAATAAATTTGGTCATTACTTATATGACGTCATTCATAACTTATATGACGTCATTTATATTATCATTACCTATTTCTTTTCTACAGACTTACCATACATGTTTTCTTAATTAAAGCTTCTCTTACATGTACATCAATTTACTTATTTAAGTATTAACCCATTTAAACAATTTGAAAAATTGTTCACAAAAACTACATTAAGTTGTTTTATTCGGTTTTTTATTTTTTTAATTCTTGTTTTTTGTTGTTGTTTTTTATTTGTTAAAAGCTATTTAGAGAAATAATTGTTAAAACAAATTTCTAAATCGATCTAGTGTTAAATTTGTGTCATATATTCGAGAAAAAAAGTTGATCTTATAATATTATAAACAGGGTTGAGTAAAATATATGTATGCTTACAGATAACAATATCGAATTATTAATACCAAATATATTCCAAGTTTGTGTTTGTAACATACATTATAAAAAACGGATTAAATTTATATTTAAATACATATAACAACTGCAGAATTGTTTAAAATAATAACTAATTATATGTACTAATATATCTTTCTCAAATACTCAATGAAGCATGACGCGTTACTTATAATAAATACAGGACATGGTTGAATGACTGATACAGGACATGAAAATTCTAAAAATAACTCCCAGCAGTTACGAGTTTCTAAAACTCTCGCGATGTAACACGAGATATTTAATAATAACAAACATGATTATTTAAGATGAGATTCGGGTCACAATTATTTCATATCCGCATGAATTATTCCAACACTTCACTTCCCAAACAGATAAAACGTCATCATTTTTCCGTACACTGTCTTCTTAGCTTTTTCCATTCCTTCTTTCAAGAAAACAACAGACTTAATTAACTTTCTTCATATATCGAAGCGACAGTTTTCCCAGTGATGGTTATATGACGTCACTTCCGTTTACGTCACTTTCGTTTACTTGCCAACACTTCGTGCTTTCTTCCGATCCATTTCTCCTGCAATGTACAGTGTACCATCCACAATACATCTGGCGAAATATTCCGCTATTCGCAACTAGAATACATTCTTAAATCGAGCATTTTATTTGTGAATTAAAATATAACCTACTCAAGAAACGTTCACCTTTTTTTGTGACGTCATTTGTGGGTATGATACATTTTGAAAGAAACACTTGATGTCGGTTTATTTTCATTAACTTCTTCACACTTCGTTACACTCATTTCTATCGGCATCGGCAAACCTTCGGCAGAGTTCGTACTCTCTTCGGGAGTTCTCGACATTTCGTGTTCGTGTTCGGTATGTTCCGTATGGTGATGTCGATGCTTGTGATGGAATGCTTGTAGTGAAAAACGTCTATGAGTCTGTTTTCGTCCGCCTCGTCTTTTAGAAATATGAGGGTTATCTTTCCTCATGTTGCGAGTTTTGTAAACCTGTAGCTGTGTGTAAAGCCTTTTTAATTCCGCCTGGAAAAAAATATATAGTAAAATCAAAAAGTATAACTAGTTGTTTAAATTCCAATTACATATCACACCTGTACAATACATTAAATTAGAGTTAAATTGCTTGGTTTGTAAAGAAAGCAAGTATATAAGAATTAAGTATATAGTATTATTAATTTGGAATGGGAGGTATGGTGGCATATTTCTGCCACCAGATAACCATATAACTAACTAGTTAATTAAGAGGTTAACTAGTTACGTAACTAGTTAACCTCTTAATTAACTAGTTAGTTATCAGGTCAACTTGTTACGTAACTAGTTAACCTCTTAATTAACTAGTTAGGTATCAGGTTAACTAGTTACGTAACTAGTTAACCTCTTAATTAACTAGTTAGTTATCAGGTCAACTTGTTACGTAACTAGTTAACCTCTTAATTAACTAGTTAGGTATCAGGTTAACTAGTTACGTAACTAGTCAACCTCTTAATTTACTTGTTAGTTATCAGGTTATCTGGTGGCAGAAATATGCCACCATAGGGATGAAACTTACTATTCCACACTGAATATGTTTCACTATCGAGTCACACTCATTCTATAATTAAATAGTTTCACAAAGCACTGGTAAAAATCAACATTCAAGATTAAAAATCATCTATTTTGAAAATTCAGGATTTTGAAAATTCAGGATTTTAAAATTGAAGATTTTGAAAATTTTAGATTTGAAAGCTTTAAGATTTAAATATTTCAAGATTCGAGATCTAAAGATTCGAGATTAGAAGATTCGAGATTTAAAGATTTGAAATTTGAAGATTCGAGATGAAAAGATTCGACTTTGTATTACTTTTGGCAAGAACCTTGTTACATGTTTAAAGAATTAACATGAAAGAATGCAAAGTCACCGGAGATGGGGGGAGGGGTCTGAGCCTGAGCGACAAGGGGCAAGTGGTGTAAAGTCAACAGCATTAACAACTCGGCCACAGAGGCCCCTTAACACCTAGAGTCATGTCAGGAACCGTGATCATGACCACTAACAAAGTAGGGCTTGCAATATTACATCTGTTCTTGGAAACAAACATCATAAACACTCGACCCGAAACCCCAAAGCTCCCACCACCCCCACCACAAATTACATACCCTTATATCTTCGGGATCCATGTCTGCTAAGCTTACATCTCCTACATCAACGTCTCCATTGGATGAAATACCCACATTTAACTTCATCACCTCGGGTGCCATATTATCTGGTACATCTGACGACGAATATGCCCTATTCCTTATCTGGCGCTCGTCCGGTGGTCGATGTGCGTACCATAACTATAAAGAAAACAGAATTTATGAGCCGCGTCACGACAAAACCAACATAATGGGTTTGCGACCAGCATGGATCCAGACCAGCCTGCGCATCCGCGCAGTCTGATCAGGATCCATGCTGTTCGCTTACAAAACCTATAGCAAGTAGATAGAGAAACTGATAGCGAACAGCATGGATCCTGATCAGACTGTGCGGATGCGCAGGCTGGTCTGGATCCATGCTGGTCGCAAACCCATTATGTTGGTTTTGTCGTGACGCGGCCCAATTTATGATGATTATTTTCCCTACAGCACGCATAGCTCAATCGGTTAGAGCGCCAGACTTGTAATCTCGACATTGTGGGTTCGATTCCCTGGCTGGCTATCTCAAATTACTAAAACAGTCTGTCGGATGAGATCTCGACATTGTGGGTTCGATTCCCGAATTACTAAAACAGCCTTTGGGATGAGACTTTAATTAAATCGAGGTCCCGTGTATGAGTGCTTAAACACTTGGCAATGAACCAGGAGAAGCTTCTGAAATTAGGACATCACTTGCACTGTCCTCCAAAAATATAAAATGACTATTACTCTTCTGGAGGACAAGCCAATATGGGCAACCGGTGGCGAATACAAATAAACTCAAATACACACGATTTTTTTTTTTGTTGTTTTATTATTATTATTATTATTATTATTATTATTATTATTATTATTATTATTATTATTATTATTATTATTATTATTATCATGATTATTATTATTATTATTATTAATCTATTATATTAACCTTTTAAATTGAAAAGATATACTTCAAATTTTGATTAATTAAACAGCTCGGAAAATCTATATTGAACTAGCCGTCATGGCCGTACAAATACAGAAAAGAAGGCATGTAAACAAATACATGTATTGTTAAATATTTGTTATGACTTATGTCTAAATATTGCATTAAAAACTTGCAAATGAATTACCCAAAATAGTAAGAATATGCAAGGATAATATGGTTTCAACCCTTTGTATGCTTACTGTTAAGTACATGCTTAAAGGCCAACCATAGAGTTGTACTTTTATTCTAATATATCTAATTACAGAAGAAGTGCGCGTGTATATAAAGTTACGTAAATTTGACATTAGAAATAGACATAAGACCGTACTTGGGTGAAATACAGTGATAATCGAAATTCTAAAGCGCCTTTTAAATTTGTAATGAAAACCCTGTTATTTAAAACATATTTATCTTGAAAAAAAATAATTATTGAAAACATATTTTTATTGAAAAAATGCGGCTATTTAAAGGCACATTATGCCTAAAAAATACAATTTTTTTGTTCTTTATAAAAGATCAAGCAAACTTTTAGTAATGTTTTAATTTTGGATTTAAAGCATGTCAAATATTAAACACCTGAGAATATTGCACTTAACGTGCAATTATTTTGTCATAATGGTACAATATGTAATCAAAGAAGTATTTTGACTTCTACACAAAATAAATAAAATCACTATATAGCAAAAATTATTTCATCTACATGTTTATGGCCAATGACTGTTTCTTTTTGGAAACAGTTACACGATATCAATTTTTTTTTAAGTAATGGGCCTTTAATGGTCGATCGTATATAAAGCAGTTTAGGCAAACAATCAAGATATTTTTAAAACACCATCTTACCTTAGAACCAAATACTAATACAAGAGTTACACTGACTGTTAATTGACATCGTAGAAAGTACATCAAAAATAAGTAATCGGGATGTAAACTTAACCAATATATATGCCTGCAAAACAACAAACAAATATTTCATCATATACCAACAATTAATTATAATAAAGTCCATATACTCCGTACGTCCATATATGTAAACTATTAGTTTATACGAATTTATTTTATTTCGATTGTGTTGGAAGCTATATAAGCCTATTATTGAAACACTCTCGAGTTCGTTTCCTGGAGCCAATCAGTAATGAGTGTAATGTTTCTAGCTTACAGAAACAACGGCTTTGTCCCTGACGGTTTGAGCCAACGCGATCCTTAGATCAGGTAACTATTAAATATAATGTATGTCAACTTGGATCTAACTTAGCGTGATTTTTTTTTCATAATCTTATTCAAGGTATGTAGTCTCCAGACGTAGTTTTGTCCCTTTGATTTATTCATTACCGTTAACAAATTCGCTAGATTTATTCACTTATAAAAGTATTTCACATCATTTAAATATTTTACAAAACTAATACGTTCACACAACCTTAAACAAAATAAGTTGCATATAACAATTTTGTGCGAAAATATGCTATTTTGATTCCTTATTCATTTTATGAGCGTCCTAATGACAAGGACTGTACCGAAAATCATGGCATTTACATGAATTACTCAATAATATAGGTAACGGAAAGGAACAAAGTTGACCGGAATCATACGAGTCATCGGTACGATGTATACATACTATAGCATGAAATAAGATGATAATGTATTTGGGTATATTTCGGAAGAGTCAAAATCTCAGTTGATAAATACCGATACATTAGGGTTCGTTATTCGTACATTTTTACATCTTACCTTAAAACATAAAAGACTGTAGAAATAAAACACTCGTAGCATATCGCGGCAGACACATATGTTCCTTCGCAATACTCGGATGGCGCAGCCCGTACTCTGTAACACAGGTATATACCAAATACCAAAAACAATACTTCCGCTGAAATATATAAACATTAATATACATTAACATCTGCCAACAATACTTCCGATGAAACATATAGAAAAACATGGAAATATAAGCAACTGGCAACTATACTTCCCCTGTAAAATATATATGTAGACTTATATACGCATAAACATCTGGCAACAATACTTCCGATGAAACATATAGAAAAACATGAAAGTATAAACAACTGGCAACAATACTTCCCCTGAAAAATATATATAAACTTATATACGCATTAACATCTGGCAACAATACTTCCGATGAAACATATAGAAAAACATGGAAATATAAGCAATTGGCAACAATACTTCCCCTGAAAAATATATATAAACTTATATGCGCATTAACATCTGGCAACAATACTTCCTATGAAACATATAGAAGAACATGGAAGTATAAACAACTGGCAACAATACTTCCCCTGAAAAATATATATAAACTTATATACGCATTAACATCTGGCAACAATACTTCCGATGAAACATATAGGAAAACATGGAAGTATAAACAAGTTGTAACAATTCTTTCGTTGAAATAAATAAACATTATATGTTATTTTGGTTTTGGAGTGATATATGTGGATATATTACCTGTTAAGATTTTATATCACCCGAGCCGTTAGGCGAGGGTGATATTTTATCTTGGCAGGTAAAACATGAAAGTATAAACAACTGGCAACAATACTTCCCCTGAAAAATATATATAAACTTATATACGCATTAACATCTGGCAACAATACTTCCGATGAAACATATAGAAAAACATGGAAATATAAGCAACTGGCAACAATACTTCCCCTGAAAAATATATATAAACTTATATGCGCATTAACATCTGGCAACAATACTTCCTATGAAACATATAGAAGAACATGGAAGTATAAACAACTGGCAACAATACTTCCCCTGAAAAATATATATAAACTTATATACGCATTAACATCTGGCAACAATACTTCCGATGAAACATATAGGAAAACATGGAAGTATAAACAAGTTGTAACAATTCTTTCGTTGAAATAAATAAACATTATATGTTATTTTGGTTTTGGAGTGATATATGTGGATATATTACCTGTTAAGATTTTATATCACCCGAGCCGTTAGGCGAGGGTGATATTTTATCTTGGCAGGTAATATATCCACATATATCACTCCAAAACCAAAATAATAATTTTATTACCCTTCCCATGCCGAGTCAAGACGATTTTAAAATAAATAATTGCTACTTCAAATGAAACGTCGGAATAAGATTCCCTTTAGGATACCCCTTCACCATAACATGACGTCACAAATACATGACGTATTATCTTTCGAACATAACGGATGTAAACAAGAGAAAAGGAGTAGTCTGTTGAACGCACTTTTTTGGAATTAATATCAAGCTTTCACAAGGTCATATTTGTTTCCTATACTGACGAGAATATGTATCATTACTCTATTTTTGGAAATATTTATCACTTGACAGTTTAAAATTGCTTGTAAATTGGAATTTATATCGCGTAAAATCAAACCGTACGCGCATCGCACGGCGCATGTTGTTTACAACGTGGGGTACCCATCGGGGAAATTTAGTGTGTATATTACCCGTCTGGCTCGGTTATATCAATTTTTTTCGGGTGATCAATATCCAATCAAAAAGGCGGAAAAAATCTGGAAGGGTAATAAAAATGTGTATAATCATCTGGCAGCAATACTTCCGCTTAAAAAAATTTGCACACAGGGAAATATAAACGACTAGTAAGAATACAACATTTAAAGTTACATTAAATAAATATGTTAAAATATTTTTGCCGTCGGCCTAAAAACCAAGCATTCTACAGTTTCATTAACCTTTTTAACAGTATCGTTGTAAATCTCATCAAATATTGTTCATAAATTAGGATTTTAAATGGAAAACCCCAAGGTAACACTAAAGTTCGTATACGAATTTTAACATGCAAATGAAGACTATAATCAGCTCGTGTATGCGCTACGTCACGGAGTTATAGTTGCTATCCGGAACACAGCAAATATAAGATTTTCTTGTGCAAACACACTTTTACCGTTTAAGCTTCACGGTGCACTAGGCCTGTGGTTCAGAAAAAATAATCATCTCATAAAACAGATTAAATTTGTATGAAAATATCCGTTACAATGCGGAAATATACCGTTAAATTAGGACTGCTACTTTTAGTCATGTTTGTTGATTTAATATTGATGTACGGATGATCTGAAGGCGGAGTTTCTCATGCAAACAGAAATTGTACTTCCGAATTCGCCACAATGAGGTTGCACATTTGTATGCTCATTAAACTCATTTTGGTTGCCTGGACACCAAAATAAGATCTGGAGTCGATATGAAACCCAATTTATTAATGAAATGTCGCTATTTCTTTTTTTATGAAATTTATTTAATGTAACTTTAAAACATTTTTATATCTGCACATTTGTAACACCGCTTTACATTGGATAATCGTGACGTTTATATTATTAGTTATAAAGATTTTTACTCAGGTTATATGGCCTTATATAAACGGTTGTAATTGAATGTTTTGATGGACGGCGATATTCGAATTATGAAAAAATACCATCATAAATTAATAACTAAAAATAAATGTAATCATACACTTGGGTTTTATTACTGATAAGGGGAGTTAACTGCTGCAGAATGTAGATTCATGATATAAAGATTTATACGCCCTTGAAACAATCATAACGTGTGCTGAAACTCTCGTAACTTTCATGAAAAGGCATGCCTTAAATGTATTTTTGAAGTTTTTTTCTGATATATTAAACAACATCAACCTATACTTTGACGTGTATGCACGTATATTGTCATATAATTATTGTATAATTTATATTAAATCTAAATTACAAGTCATTTTGATATTCAAAGATATTAACATTTTTTATATACATTTAATTTATATATAAATTTGAATGATGTTTTTATTGTACTAACAATTATATTCTACGCTTAAATCCATAAACTATAATAGAGTCCCGTTGAATAACGGATGTATTCAAACTTTTTTTTCTTTGATATTTAGAAGCGTGCACAAAACGACAAAATTAAAGTTTAACGATTACATTGTATTTGGAGATCCATTCTACAATAAACCAAATCAAAAGAGATTGCACCAAATACCTGTAATTTGATACCTCTTATATACCCCGTTACACCTAAATCTAATAATTCATTGTTGAAAACAAGTTTAATTTCAAATTGAAAATATTGATAAAATTAACTTTTTACAATTCGAAATGTAAGGATTCGTTACGTTGAAATCGTGAAGTTCAAACCATGAATTTGTAATGGTGAATAAACGAATTCGAGCTTACGAAAACTTTTCATTTTTGTTACAGTTTCCAAATTATACTAATGTCCCTTATCCATTTCCTTATCTTTTGCTGTTTTTGCTCTAACAGCAATTGGTATGGTTATAGTGAATTATTACTTTGTATGGAAGTGAAAATACCATTTTGTTTACATTTTGTTACCTTTATGACACATTGCTGCAAATTCTAAGCTACTTCCTTCCTTCAGTATTTTAACGTGAAACTACTCTAAATTTGTTATTGAAACATTAATAAACACGTGTTTGACATTTCAAAATAATCTTTAAAAGAAAATGGATTTCTGAGACATAATGTGCCTTTAAAGGTATCGGATTCAAATCCTGGCCAGAATGCACATTTTTCGCATCCTAGTGACACCTGTTTATATTTAAAGGCACATTATGCCTCGAAAATGAATAAATTTGACCTACTTTAGAAAGGTCAAACATCAGTATTATAATGATTACATAATGATTTTAGAGCAAGTAAGATGCATATTACCAAAATAATGTAAGACTCATTGTGGAATTATTTGTCATAAAGGTAGCAAAATGTGAATAAAGTAATATTTGGATTTTCCATTCAAAATACTAAATCACTATAGCTGAACTTATTTCGAAAAGCATCAGAAGCAAAATATGTTCAGAATATTGGCCAATGATTATCTTTTTTGGAAACTATAACGGGACACTGAAAATAAAATAAGCTTTTGAGAAATAAAAAAAAATGTATAATATTATAATATCTCTTGGGAATAATCGGCCTTTAAAGGCCATGACTATAAAGAATGAAAAGGAGTCAGTGTGACTATAATTACCAAACAATTATTGCAATGTGGTGGGTAGATATACAAATTCGTAATTCGTTTATATACGTACATTGAATGTGTTTAAACACATGTGGATAGCTAAAATAGAATCTAATTTTTATTTAAATACCATAGCTATAGAAATTAAAAGTTTATTTTTAGCATTTGTAATAGTAATGTCAGATATAATAAGTGTAATTTGTCACGTTTTTGTTAACTTTTTTTTATTTTAGATTTCAGATACCGAACAGGTATCCCGCATGATCGTTAATTTTGTAGATACTTAATCGAAAATAATGCGCCATTTACACGCAAGAAAAAAACAAACACTTTCTCTTCATATCACGTAAAGAAAACATGTTAAAAAGATATAAAAAAAGAATCTAAACATTCGATTTTTCGTTGTTACAACACTGTATAGGTTATATGGTGGCTTTCCTGCATTACTATGCAAACTTTTTGGCACGAACGGGCACCTTAGTACAACCACTGAGCACGCCCGTTTACAAAGTGAAAATGCAAAAGATGGAAAACACGACAAGGTCACCTTCTGTTCCGTTTTCTGCCCTTTTCAGGCTAAGGCTAAAACGCAAAGACATCACCGAAACGACACGAAAACTAAGTCGTGTGTTTGCGATTTCGTGCTGGTGTGGCGAAAATGCCGACCACAAGCAAACAGTATAAATCGAGATTATTTTGTTCGTACATTTATGAAGCCATTAAAAATTGACATGCCTTGCGATATATTTATTGCTAACGCATTTACTATGCATTTCAAGACAATTGAATACATACAGATATATACGTACATATATACAGATACAATGCGTACTTTCTAATTGATATTGTTATATGTTTATTTCTTGATAATTGTTTTCTTTCTTTGTAACATGATTTTATTCAAAAATCCATATCACTTGCGTATTCTATTTGTAAAAATTCGGCACATTCAAGTTGCGCTGGCATTACCATTTTACGTGCAACAAAAACTGATAATGTTATAATATTAGTTATACAAGTTCCTGACGGGATATATGGGACAATATAGCCTGAATGAGATAAACATGAGGTTGTATTTATGTAAGCAATGTTATATTTTTCCAAATATCCAGTCAGTAACTTATATAACGACTTTGTTCTAACGCAAATTGTTATTGACAAGAAAACCCTACAGGTTTCCGCCAATTTCAAAGAAGCACGGGAAAAATAAGATGACGCCAAACGTTCAACGGCTACACGAACGCTGCGCAATAAAAATAAAATCAAAATATATAAAATTAATCACAGCGGTGTAACTTTTTAACAATTTTTTTGGAAGCACACGTATTGACATTTTAATCGAGAAAAATGACATAAAGAACAAAATGCAATATCAAATTGTTAGTAAAAGTCTACGATGTTGATACACTGATATGTGTGCGCGTTTGAACAATTCTATAATCTGCCATCGTATGTATACAGTAATCAAAATTCGTGAAGTTTTTTTGCATCATTGCTATAACATAATTATATAGATCTATATTTTGACCTATAAACAAGTTTTCAACATGTCATGCCGTAACATTTAGTTTACGTATTTTTTCCAGCGTTATGGCTTCGTTTTTAGCTTACAAGTCAAAATATCCTTACCCTGCAAAAAAAGTCCCCGTCGTTATGACGTTCCAAATAATATTTATTTTTCAATTGTTAAAGGCATGCTGTACGGTAATTATTTTATTTGTTATCTTTCTATATTTAACCATACTTGATATATCTGAAACACAATTACATTTTGCATTATATATAGGCCACATAACTAATTCAGAATTAAACTTAGAAAGAAAATAGAACGTAAAAAAAAGGTTAAAATATAAGGTACTCGTAAAAGCAAAATAACGGCGTCATTGAAAATAATCGTGTGTGAAAATATCGTATTCTCTCTACTCAGCAGGTGAAAGGTCTACCTTACACGTACTTTGAGTAATTATCTTTCACCGAAAGATTAAAAAAACGACGTAGTCTTCTTAACTAAACATTTGACATAATAAACGAAGAAAGGAACTCGTGATTTTAACAAAAATTCACACAAAAGATTTTACTGCGTTTAAAAATATATATATGGGACATCTATTTTAGACAGTGGGGTATCTATGATATCTTTTTGAAATTCTGACAAGTAATTATTTCATTACATATTTTACATTGTGGTATCTTCTAAAAGGCTTTGTTCGTGTATAAGTAAAAAAGGCATAATTATATTTTAAATGCAGTCACGATTTTGTATCTATATAAGACCCGGTAGCTTTCAGTAGCTTCAGAAGGAATTGTGAGAGTGAACAGACGACAAGACCTCCGATTACATAAACGTAAGTACCCGTATGTTACATTTTATAATACTGTGATTTTGAAACGGCCATTTTTAATGGATAATCATAATATACGTTTGTTATTTCGATACGCAGCTATTGCAAATTAATGAAATATTTTCAATTTCAATCGACGAAAGCAACTGCTCATGTTGCAAAAAAATGCTGAAAATCTAGGCGACAGGTTTTATTCAACACATATGTTTTTGCCAAACGACAAATTTTTATTCGAGTTATGAGTTTTAAAAAAAAATGCAAAACGATTACTCATAGAAATATAGTGAAATATATTTTATATAAAAAATGATTTAGGGCCCATGCTATCTATTGGTTTTTCAAGAACATTTTTATTTTTGATATCTTTTAACAGTTTCCAAAAAGTTACTTATTTGCCATAGAGGTGAAGATATCTGCGGCTTCTTTTGTTCTTTGGCAATTGGTATATTTAAGGTGATTTAGTTTCCTATATGAAAGTCATAATACTACATTGTTGTCATATTTCTTATTTCATTTATTTGAGCCGCGTCACGACAGAACCAACATAATGGGTTTGCGACCAGCATGGATCCAGACCAGCCTGCGCATCCGCGCAGTCTGATCAGGATTCATGCTGTTCGCTTACAAACCCTATAACAAGTAGAGATACTGATAGCGAACAACATGGATCCTGATCAGACTGCACGAGTGCGCATGCTGGTCTGGATCCATGCTGGTCGCAAACCCATTATGTTAGTTTTGTCGTGACGCGGCTCATTTATTTATTTTATTATATTTATGACACATAACTGCATGTTCAGCGCAACGTTCTTCATGTGTTTAACATATAACACACTTTAAAACCGCTATCACAATATTTTAACACATTGTTGGCCTCGCGGAAAGAATTAAATTTTTATTGATTTCTGGGGTATAATGTGCCTTTAAACTTTGCATAATGACTGAATTCAAAGTAACAAAATAAATAAATGAATAAATAAATAAATAAACAAATAAATAAAGTATAAATAAATAAATAAATAAATAATTTGAATAAAGTATGGGTATGCTGCTCCTGAAAAAGACCTAAAAGAGCAAAAAGAACATATTTTCCTGAACAGATCACTTTGAAAAGTAGTTCCAATTTGAGGCATTTTACATTAAATTTTAATTTACAACATTTGCAACAAAGCCTTATAGGTTTACCTTCATGTCAGCCTTATAAATGTACTCAGGGAAAAAAGTGTAAACAGTACATGTATACTTTTACAATGCCTTATTTCTAGATAGATTTCTGTTGTTTTTTTTTTATTGTTGTTGTTTTTCCTCAGTCCTTAGATTGCTAGTAATTCTTAGATTAGTAGTCCGACGTGTAAACCACTCGGCCACGCCGCAACTCGTACTTTGCTCCATCTTTATCTATTTTTTTCTAAATTTTGATTCATTGTTTTAGCTACCACGCCGAGATGAAGTTTACACTTGTCTTACTTGTGCTGTTCGTGGCTTCCACGTGCACCTCCGCATACTTCTTGAAGAGGGGGAGGGGCGGACCGGGAGCGGGTAAACCTCCAAAAAGCGGCAGTGCCAGCGGAACCAACGATGGTGAAAAGAGCGGCGTAAGTTTTGGTTTAGTTTTGTTTTTAGAAACATATTCAAGAAAATTTCATTAAAATAATTTATCACATACCAGTGTCGTGTATACTGTATATAATATAGTCACTGTGGAAATATCGTGCACATTTTGCAATGAATAAGAATTGATTACATTACCCATTTAACTGAATGGCAAATGAGCCTTATCCCGACAAAACCAACATAGTTGGTTTGCGACCAGCATTGATCCAGACCAGCCTGCGCATCCGCGCAATCTGATCAGGATACATGCTGTTCGCTATCAGTTTCTCTTTTTGTAATAGGGTTGGTAAGCGAACAGCATGGATCCGGATCAGACTGCGTTGATGCGCAGGCTGGTCTGGATCCATGCTGGTCGCAAACCCATTATGTTGGTTTTGTCGTGACGCGGCTCATTTATACTGCCAAACGTCACAAACGCCCCAAAATAAAAAAGTGATACAATCGGAATACCTCTGAATATCTGATCACACATGCAGGTGTATGTGGCAGATATACGATATCGCAGTGTGTCAACATAAGTTTTAAAAGAAAAATCTGATACATTTGCTTTCTTCGTTGATAAATGTGATGTTGTTGGTGACATTCATCTCACAGATGTCGGCAATATCCGCATCTTCTTGGTCCTTTCCGTCACACTTTATAATGAAATATCGTCCGAGGTGTTCCGATTTGAAAGATGTCGCCAATAATCGCATCTTCTTGGCCCTTAATATCATCGAGGTGTTCCGATTTGAAACCTATTTTATTTTGGGGCGTTCGGCAATATCTTATTAATTTACATATAAAAGTCTTTCAGTTAAAATGGGTTATGTAATCATTTTATGTTCAGAGCAAAATTTGCAAGTCTTTTATTTCTAAACTATATTATGCGTTTATATTTTTTACATTGTTCCCATCTACTCAAGTCAAAATACATTAATAAATTGTAAAATCCACATCAAGTTCTTATTTATTCTATGCATGTGTCCGTATCTATACTAAATAAAAATGACGTAAAGATTAATATTACGTAGGCAAACAAAATTAATGACTATATATACATGTCATACGAAAAGGAACGTATTTCGTAAAAGCTGCCGCAGCCGACAATTCCCGCCTTTTTAATTGTGTTTACTTTACACTCGAGGAGTCTTCTTTTCCTAGATTTTATAAAGAAAATGATAAATTTAGGGGCTCAAAGTAAAGTACTTTTTAAAGACATTAAAATACGTTGTGTATTTATAGCCAAGACGTATGTGCAGGGAGGTAGTGGAATTTTGCATGATGGACGACGAAGAACGCTCTATGGGTGACGCGGACGTGACTGAGAAGGTTATAAAGGATTGCATCAAAGAAGTGGAAGAAGAAATTGTAGACGCAAGAAGAGAATTGGTAGGTACCTTACGTTCATCAGTTGCCAAATCAGGCACGCCATAGATTAAACTCGCTACGGTGTTGGAGCAGCAGCTCCTGACGCCTGCAGAAATCATGATCACAAAAATAGAAAATATCGCGTTTAACACTGATTTCAAAAATTCAAAAAATGTCATTTATTTTTGTATATAAATCGGTGTGAATAGATGATTCAGGTTTCTAAAAGTGCATTCCGGATGATGAAAAGGCGAGATTTTAGCATTTTATCATTCAAGCGCCTGGTCCAGTAAATACGGTATATAGTGTGGTGTTTCACTCATTTTTCTAGTCTCTTTCAAACAACGAGGATATACATGTATAAAAAATGATGCGATTATTAATTAAAAAGTTAAATTAATATAGAAACAATATTGCCCTCTATTCTTATGACATAATGTCTTTTTATTTATTATTTATGTATTAATTTTTATTTATTTACTTATTTATTTATTTGTAGGCAGAAGATCTAGGCCCCTGCAAATCAGCTCTAGAACAATGCCTTGCTGGTCCTCCGCCCCCAGACCAGCCACTGCGTCGTGCATTAACTCTCATGCTCAGAGAGGAGGACTTACAGAATTGTGAGGCTTTTCTGGAAAGTTTACCGGAAGAAAGCGTTGATGAAAATGATGGTGGATCAATGTCACAAGGTCCGCCACCAACGGCATCAGGGCAAAACTTACGAAGATTCCTCTACAAAATGCTCAATAAAAACTAACAGTTACACTGGATTGTAATAAAACTTACAAAAACCAAAACGAAACACGGACTGCATTTATGGACAATGAATAAACGATTCTTATAGATTTTTATATATCCTTTCCTTCTTTATCTTAGAAAGCAAATACATGTATCTTTCTGGTTTTCTGTTAATTGTTTTGTTGTCATAAAAAAAGATAAAAAAAAAAAGGAATGATTAAAAAACGATCTTTTTTATTTAATGAGTAAGCGACCAGGGACATTTTTGAACCTACATAATATGCGTTTGGGAGTATAATCAAAATACCTATAAATATATAAATACCTGTAATTTGACAAATGAAACTAATTTAAGGTACGAACAATTCACGTTAAAGGAACAAAAACATCAATCGAAAAGAAAGTCTACACAGCATATATAATAACGAATGGTGACATAGTTTTACGAGAAATATCTTTATTTACTATCATTGTCACTTTGCGTTTATGTTTATTGTCTAGTTATGATTGGTTTTGTATAAGTACATGTATTTTTTGTCGCCCTTGATTTCTGTTTCTTTCTGTAGTAAACTTTAAGCATCATACATATGTGTTATTGTTATTCCGTCATTTTTGCGCCGAAATTCCAAAACTAGAAAAATGTCTTCCAAGCTGTATCAATATTACATGCAAAAATTGTATCAATGTTAGACGCAAGTGTGTCCGTCCGCCAAGCAATAGGGAGAGCACAGGATTTGTAATGAAGGGGTCGTTGTTTCGAAACCGATAATTCGAAAATTGATAATTATTGGTTAGTTATCCAGAAAAGTAAATTTGCTGGACAAAACCGTCGAGATATGACCAAACTGCGTTTATTGTAATGTATACTTTGTATTAATCTAAGTAAAGAATCGGAAAATTTATATCTTAATATGTAAAATGACCCGGTCTTTAGCTAAGAAATACGAAGTCTGAATTTTGTGTATTTGTTATTGGTCTCTATATATGCTATATTATTGGTTATTAAGAATTTTGACAAGTTATATAACCGTACATAAACGGTCGTTTGTATAGATAAGTCGAACCGCTATAATACTGCAAACTTCCTTTATAAGAAACAAAAAGCAACTACATGTACTTCACACTGCAGCCCTGTATATAAAACTATATGGACGTCACGATTATCCAATGTAAATACATATGTAAAACGACGTTACAAACGTGCAGTATTATAAATATATACATATAAATGTGTATACTAGTAACACTAGATTACTGATTTCAAATGGAATTTGATAAATCTGACACTAAAATACACCAACGTAAGAAATGCTAATGGAATGCAATATTAATGAGCCGCATCGTGACAAAACCAACATAGTGGATTTGCGGCTAGCATGGATCCAGACCAGCCTGCGCCTCTGCGCAGTCAGATCAGGATCCATGCTGTTCGCTTACAAATCCAATACAAGTAGAGAAACTGATAGCGAACAGCATGGATCATGATCAGACTGCACGGATGCGCAGGCTGGTCTGGATCCATGCTGGTCGCAAACCCACTATGTTGGTTTTGTCGTGGCACGACTCAAATACTATCATAGTAATGTTTAACTCACCAACTTCTGTGGAATAATCCCACCAGCCTGATTTGCAGATAAAATAACTGAGTTCCTCGTCGGAAGTTTTTCTTCTCTCTATAAGACTGACACCCTCTTGTACCTGTTAAATAGAATGTATGCTGTTATATTTAAACGATATTAATGTGTATTTGCTCGCCACCGGAAAGAGACCATATGGGCGAGCATAGGTTGTTGAAATTTTATATATGTATATAATTATGCTTCTAAAACAATTTTCAAACATTCAAGAATTTGTAAAATATTTACTGCAAATATTTGTCCACATTATATGTAATCATTAAAATATATGCATTCATTTCTTATTGAAAATTTTGAATTACCCTTTATAGAAAATAGATTTCTAATTACCTCCCTTTATTAACGTGAAATGTAAATTCGGTAATATCTTTGCAATAATGCTTTTTTGGAACTTACAATATTGATAAATCTTCATTTGAGCATTATATTTATGATATAAAACCATAAAAAATGTGTTACAGGATCTTTAAGTAGAATGCATGATGTAATATGTAACATTATTCATCTCTTTAAATAAAACCACGACAATTATTCAAAAGTTTAATTTTTGTCTCTCACTTGTAAATCCAATGATTTGAAGGTATTTGTAATCTGCTAAATAAATGCGTACAGAAGTCTTCAAGGACAGAGGTTTATACTAGTAATCTAGCAAGCTGACATCGCGAAAACATAACACGGAAACATTACCACCATTACCAAATGTAATGAACTCATTGATTCGATTTTTTCTTTGCTCCCCAGAGGTTCGATTAACATTTTATTAAACTGTTTAATAAATTGATAGATCCCTACTCAGACCTTTCATTAAAATAACAATAAATATACCCACACACATTGACATATACTCTTATGTTAACAAATATGCTGTGATGAAATCCACTAATCTGACAATTAGGTCAGGAATCTATGCGTTCAGTATTGAACCTACACTCATTCAATACCCTGCTATAAAAAATAAATTCCCCTACTGTAATGTCATAACTACGTGCTCGAACACATTACCTGATCTATATTGACTGCTGTCCATGCTGCCATATAGCCTATGACCACGACGACTATACAGAGGAGGTATTTAAGAAGATCCTTGTCCCTGACATGTACCCTATGTGCTTTCCGTGATTGGAAGTCTGCCAGCAGTCTACAATCATACAAAACAGTACAATATGCGAACAGGAAAACATAAAAATAAAGAACTTGTATGTTGAAAATTAAGGATGTAACAATGGTGGTGGTAGTGTTGGTAGTTTTCACTCCGGATCACAGCAGTAAACCACATTGAATTCACCAGAGCACAGTACAGCCACCGCATTGTTCCTGGACAGGCTGTCAATCAGTTTACTTTTACTTTAACTTTTGCTATGTACATGCCAGAGCAGATGTCCAGTGCGAACCGTAGAAAGGATTTCATGATCAATCAAAACGAAAGTGAACTGCGCCGTCCGGGAATCGAACCCGGTTTGCCAGATTCACAGTCCAAAGCTGTACATATTAAGCAAACAGGACGGCTCTAAGTATGAAACTATTTAAGTGAAATTATATATCTGTATATCATTATTTTTCTTAAACAATTTCCAAACATTAAACAATATGTAAAATGTGTACTGAAACTGTTTATTCACATTTTAAGTAATCATTAAATTCTATGCATTTTTTTCTTATTGAAAAAAATTGGCTTAATCTTATCGAAAATAGATCTCTTATTGCCTCTTATTACCTCCCTTTATTTACTATGTAATATCTTAATAAATATTACTTTTTTGTACTTACAATATTACTAATTACTATCGACACATTAAAAGCTTTCAAAACCGTCACTGTCTAGCAGGTACTCGCGTTACCGTAAAGCTCGCTCTGCGAGCAGACCCTTTGGGCACGCTCTTCGAGCTCGCTATTACCTAATGGCAAGAATAAGCGGTGCTAATGCGCAGCACAACAAGCAAACACAATAGAGAAAAGTGTCAGGTTTTTGTCAAATTAGATTTACCTCCCTTTTTACGTCAGCGCTATGACATTAAGATTTACCTCTCTTTTCAAGAAAATGCTAAATTATATAAATCCAAAAATTAATAAATACGAATTGAAGAATAGAATAGACCAGCGTGACTTTGGGAGAAAAACGTTGTACTGATTCTTCAAAATATATCTTCAAATACTTGAAATAGTTAAAAAAAATCGAAATACTGCTTTTAAAAACGCATATGTTGACATTTTCGCTTCGTTAAAAGAAAAACTGCTTTTTTTTTTAAGGAAATCCTTTAATTTAGAATAACAAGGGGATCCTTGTTTAAATTTAAAATTTTTGAGGTTTTTAAAACTTTCCGAAACGGGCCTCTTTTTTTTAAAAATTATAAATTCCCCTTTGAATGGCAAAAAACTTTTTTTTAAATTTTTTTTGTTTTTTAATAAAACATAATTTTTTTAATTTTAAAAGAAAATTAAAACTTGTTTCCTTTTTTAGAAAAATGCATGAAAAAATTCCCCCGGAAAAAAATTTTTTCTCCCTTACTGTTATATATAAAAGGTGTTTTGAAAAAATAAAAAATTAATCAATACCTTTTATTTTTTAATAAAAGTGTTCAGTGGGGCGAATCCTAGTCCCTTAAACCATGGAGATAGACGCCCTTGTTGACCGGTTAAATTGGCGATAGCTTAAAAATAAAAAAAAGGGAGAGGATATTTTAAAGGAAAATCCCCAAAAAAAAAAAAATTTTTTTACCTTCTTTAAAAGGTTTACGAAATTTTAAAAAAATTTTATAATGTAAGGGGGATTCAAAAGTTTTTAAATTTTTATGAAATTTAAAAGAAAGAAAGGGGTAATTAAATTAAAAAAATTTGTTTTTGTCATAAATAAAAATTTAAAAACATTAGTTTTTATTTCTTCAAAAAATAACACCCTCATTGCCAATCAGGAACAAAATAAAAAGTTTTTCAGATTAATTGGCAAAATTAAGTTTTAAAATAAAGTATTTAATGAAAAACTTTTAGTAGAAAAAAAAGATTTCTGTGAAATGGGGGGGTTTAAATTTTTAAAAAAATTTTTAAAAGGGACGGGGAGAGGGGGAAGAAATAACCGGATATGATTAAATTGGGGGAAATAAAAAACCCGACAGCGATTCTTACAAATAGCGTGACCGGGTTTTTTTAAATTAAAAAGCCAAATTTATCCCCAAAAAATTTTTATTTTTTAAAAAAATTTCAATTTTTTAAATAAAAACATTTTTTAAAGTTAATGACACATGTTTCCCTTCAAAAAGAAGTACGATTTTTCGTTTAAAAGACAAATTACAAATCTTTTTAAAAATAATATACATGCCTACAATTATAAAATATCCTTAAAAAAAAGAAAATTTTAAATTTAAAAATTTAAATGTAGTTATTTTGTTTGTTTTAAAATATTTACCCCCCCTTGGAAAAAAACGGAGGGTTTAAATTTAAAAAAGAAAAATAGAAGAATTGTAAATAGAAAACAAAACGTTTTTTTTAAAATTTTGTTTTTTTATACAGGTGAAGTAACGATTCGTCACTCCCTAAAAAAAAATACTTTCATTTAAAGGCCCATTATGTATCAGAAGTGCTTTTATTTTCAATTCTCAAAAGCTTTTTTTCATTTTTGGTGTCTTGTATCGTTTAGAAACGTTACTCTACTGACAATTATCTGAACCATATTTTTGCTTCTGTTGCCTTTTGGTAATTAGAATAGTAATAGTGATTTAGTACTTTGTACGGAAGTCAAAATACTACTATGTTTACATTTTGCTACTTTCATGACAAATAATGTCACATTCAGCTCTGTTTTCTCGAGGTGATAAACATCTAACATGCTCTAAAACGATTATTTCAACGTTATAAACCTACTGTTTACCCTGTGTAAAGGAGGAAAAAAAGTTATTTTCTCAGACATAATAATTATGCCTTTAAAGGGACTCCACTGAAATTTTTGACGTGAAGGGACCGAAAATATGTTTCAAGATTTTTGTATAACAAGATGTATGTCTAGACCAATAACTCGTGTATAAAATTTCAGATCATTCGCTCACTCCGTTTCCCAGAAATAATCAATTTTATTGTGCAATTTAACCCCAAAAATGACAACCGTTGCAACGCTTTTCACTCAAATTGGCCAAAAATCGCACAAAAATTTATTATCAATTTGATACCGCGTATATTTATATATCACCTATTGTTTCGAATTTAAGTACACCAGTTGATTTAAGAAAGAATTTCAAAATTTATTATTTAAGACTATAGGACCTCAGTGGAGTTCCTTTAAGGCATAGATTCTACCGTAACCTGTTCATTTGTTAGTGTATTAAATGTTCATCAATCATTCAACAAAGGTAGTTAGAGCATAGTGACCTTGACCCGAATTAACCAAAGTTAGAGAGCAACTCAAGGTACCATCCTACTACCAATTATGAAAGACACCAGTTCATAAATAAGGCTTCATGAGTTCAAATGTAAAACTCTATTTGAAGTGAGGTAATGCATTTTATGTGAAAAGCATCAATTTCTTACCGTAGCATAAAGAAATAAAGCACCAAGAAGAATAATTTCCAGCAAGCACCACATACCAATCACCATTACCTGAAAAACGAGAATTATAAAATATTATTTCTCTAATAAAAATGTATAACTTTCAACCATATTGATATTCTCTTGAATAATTACATCACAGTGGAAAACACCCTCTCACTTGACAAAACTATACTATAAATAGGTATTACGGAAAATGTCGAAAGGAAGCGCTAACGGCTTCGGGCTTATTGCGATATTTCACGAAAGAAGTCGACATTTACCGATTCATGAAGGTTCGTAATCGTTTAATCAAAGGGACAAAACAAATGTTTTGTCTAGACGTATTTAAACGGTATAAACAATAATTATTAATTAAGGCCTCCTCTAATGTAATCGCTAATTTCAGGACATTGATATTATATTTTGTTTTAACGTACTGTGTAAGTAGATGCAAAGCGTCGTTAAAGCATAGAGATACCATTGAACTCGGTTAAAGTGGGGTTTTCCCGTCTAATCTCCTATTATTTACAAACTTTTACAATTACATCTTGGTGATTTTTCTATAAAAAAGCACACGCGTTGATCACAATATTGTGAACAGCAGGGTACCCGTGAAGCTGTAACGGTAAAATTTTGTTTTGTACCCCGGGATGAGACGGGGGAGACCCACATTCGTTGATTTCCGGATTACATTTATAAAAAAATTTGTTTTGATCATCCGTAAAGTATCAACAATTCTTATTACATGTATTACCAATCTTGTTTAAACGAGCGAAATCTTTTTCATGAATGGTATATTTTTAAAAAAAACATACTAAAATTTTGAAGGAAAAAATAAACAAAGACAAAAACACTTTATCACATAGTCTACGAAAAATCTCTGCAATAACAACCTAAGATGTTCTTAACTAAAGTTAAACCCGAACTTACCTTACATTTCCTAACTCTAAGTACAACAATACCTAGAACAAGAGTAATTGTCATACAAAAGCTTTGAATTCCTAGAGGAATCCCCCGCATTAAAATGTTATATTCAACTAAACAAGGACCATCGTCGTCACAGTCTATACATCCTTGGCGACACGGAAGACACTGGAAGTCACTTGTAGAAAAATTAGCATCACTGCGCATGCTCTGTAGGATGTGACGTTCAACTTGAGTTCCGGTGTAAAATTTTTGGGTAGCGTTGAGAAGAGGAAAATAGAAACCAGATTTGCAGTGGCACTCATATTGTCCTGCCTGTAACCCGCCATCTGGTATAAATTTGCACTGAAATAAAGATGGTATTGTTTATAAAAACAATTATTCTTTCTATATTTAATAAGGTGTTCTGTATGTGACCTTTTAATCAGCAAAATATGTATAACGGTCCAGGAATTAATTTCTTGCATAACTTTTTAAGTAGTTCATTATTTTATATGAGATAAAGTGGACCTATGAAACACATGTAAAAATATGTAAAAACCTTGTTTAAAACTCTAGAAGTTACATTTTCAGTCAAAATATCCTGGAAATGTATCAGATAAGCTATTTTGATGATTTCTATCTCTATGAAAATTGGTAAGAAAAAGAGTTCTTTCCCGAATGATTCTTACTCAGCTTTGAAATATAGGTCATCTGGAGTCAAAATAAGGTCAAAGAGCCAAAATATTGAAAAACCTTGTTAACAGTCTAATGTAATATTTTCAGTCCAAATATTTTTGGGAAATTTGTGAAACGTTTGTATTGATGCTTTCAAAGCTCAATTTTGAACAATCGACTTCTGTCGGTCGTCAAAAACTAGTTTCACACGGTCGCAAATATGGAAAACCTTGTTAATATATGCAGATATGAAGGTTTGTGATATCGTTTTCAGATTAACACATTATGTCTGCTTTTTATTTTACAATATTAAATGTCCCTTGTTATTAAGAGCCTTAATAAGCAGGTGAGCGATAAAAAGCCCAGGATGGCCCTTTTATGACTTCGGTGCGGTCATTTGGAATATCCAAATTTCATCATAATAATCGAGTTTGACCCACGTGCATTGTAAAAGAGGGCGGAGCTTGATATTAAAGTGGAGGAGGGATGGGTTGGATATCTAAACCTTTGTAACACGCCCCCGCATATAAAAATTATAATATCTGACAATTGTTCATAATTTGTTATTACAGAAATGAGATAAAAAGTCAATTGCTTGCAGTATATTAAGTATATTAAAATGTGATTTGACTTATAAATCTCGCTTGTTCAGCAATATATTTATAACAGACATTTCCATTTGAGGAATGCACTGATTCCCTATCGTAATAAAAATGTCAGGGTATCCTACTCAATTATATGCAGACATTTCACATATCCATACAATAATATACATCTAAAAGGGCAAATATGATATTGAACATTTACCATGATTATGTTTGCATAAAATGCAAACATCATGATTCCCCATGAGAATGTGGGTATATTAAAATCAAAAACCGCATGTCATCGGATTATTACATTAATGATAACTATGAAAAATGTTGTAGTTAGGCAAAGTTGGGGATATTTCTTCGGGGCGTAGCATGGACGGTGATTTACACTATGTATTTTGATGTATTATATAAGCATATCGCATCGTTAATCATCGTGGGATATGATGTTTTATTCACCACAAGAAAGCAATACTGACCGAGGGTATGCATCTTACAGGGAATATTCGTTGATACAAACGAACAAAAAAAATTAAAATGTGATTATGACAAGGAGCATGCTGGCCTTAATCTTCCCCTGGGTTTTGCAGAAATGCCATTGTCTCAAAGAGTAGTAGAAAATTTATCATTTGGTCATAAATTTTTTTAACATTTTTATAGTGATAAATTTGGAAATGAACCTCCCAAATATTTGAAAATTAAGGGCATTGGGTTTTTGTGAAGGATTTTAAAAAATTTTTGTTAAATAATTATTAAGCTTACAAATACATGTATACTAAGCGAACAACAAAACGGGACCAAAGAATAATTTATAGACAAAATGGAAGACTTGATGATGATTCTTGCAAAAAGACAAAGCTTTATGCATCGTAGTATCTGAATAGAATATTTGTATATTAAGTTTCTCACAGCTTTTTTCCCGTTGAAAAAGTCCTTCATCACCTTGACCTTTAAACTGCTGACCTCGAAACTGATTATGTGTCAACTTCTTATCATAAAAAAGTTGCACACAACATGTTCTTTAGTTTTGGGCCTCAATGATCTTGACCTTTAACTTAAAAATTTAACAAGAGGGCCATGATGGCCCTTTTATCGCTCACCTGATTATTGAATAAATATTGTTAGCAATGACTGAAACGGATATTATAACGTTTTCATATCTGCACATGAAATAGTTGAAATATCAATAAGATATTTCCATATGGGCTGGTACCTAGTTTTTTTTACCCAAGATGATCCATGTTCGAACCTATCCCGCAAATCATTTAAACAATCTTTCTGACAAATTCACAAGATATTTGGGCTTTAAATATTACATTTAGAGTATTAACAAAGTCTTTCGATATTTCAGTTTCGTGACTTAGTTTTTTAGCGCAGATGACCTATATTCAAACTTGAGCCAGAAATCATTTAAGCCATCTATCTTATCAGTTTACAGAACATATATATGAACCTTAACAGTAGCCTTGACCTAGAAATCATATTAGATCTAACAGCCTTTCTGATTACACACCAGGATTTTTGGACCGTAACGGTAACCACTAGAGCGTATGAAGAAGATCTTTCTATCTTTAACTCCTGTGACCTAGCTTTTATCCGAGTTTCCCCATGTTCGAACCCGTCCGAGCAACTACTTGGCAAGTTTCAACGATCCTAAAAGCTCAATGACGTCATCATAAAGTGTTTTCAATCGTATCATTTTTGTTTTTTAATGTTAGAGCGTATAGTATTACAAAAGTTCAAAAATAAACTCAAACTAACCTTGGTTGTTTCTGGTCTGCATTTGTGAGATCCGGAAAATATAGATTCTGAGTCGTCACACTGGTTGACGGAAGGTTTTTTCAGGTCAATATCTAGGACAACAACACCCCTGTAAAAGAAACAAAGAAAAATATAATAAAACGTCATTTTGGAGAAAAAAAAAAAAATTTTAACAATGTTTATCCATATTTGGACTTTGTGACCTAATTTTAATACCAGAATTTGAACTAGAAATCATCGTAACAACCTTTCTGACATAATTATTTCTAGGACAGTTGGGCTAGAAATGTAACCTTTCCCCAAGGGTGGTAAGAAGGTTTACCATTTTTGGATTGTCTGCGTGACCTACTTTTTGACACAAGGTGACCCATATTCAAACTTGACCTAGAAATCATCTTAACAAATTTTCTTTCAAATTTTCTTGATATTTTGGCTGAAAATATTATCTCTATAGTGAAATCAAGGTTTTCCTTACTTGGACTGTGTGACCTAGTTTTTAACTCGAGATGACCCATATTCGAATTTAACATAGAAATCATCTTAATATCCTTTCTGGATATTTGAACAGGAACAGTAGCCTCTAGAGTGCTTTACCCAGGTGTTTCTGCATTTGGGCTTTTATGACCTAGTTTTTAACCCTAGATTATCCATATTCGGAACTTATGACTTATGCTAGATATCATCAAAAATACATTTCGGACAATTTCCAGGATATCTTGATCGAAGACAGTAGCCATTAGGGCGTTTCAAAATTATTTTTTATTTATTTTTTTTTTTTTTTTTTAAATTTTTTTTTTTGGGAGGGGCTCCTGTGACCTTTTTTTTCATCCAAGAAAATCTCGTTCCAGCGACGTAACTATCTCCTTCCAAGAAGTTAGTCGGCCAAATGGAATGTTTCATATGATGGCGCATTTTTTCCTTTAATCTAAAGATTTTATTAGTTATTATTTCCTTTTCTTTTGAAATTATCAAAGAAGGGTAGATGAAGGAAATCTTTAACATGGAACGGAAATTTTCCTATGATTTTTATTCAGATACTAGTAAATTTGAATGTTGATAAAGGTTTACGGACAATAGAAGCTATATATATATATATATATCGTGACGTAATGTTTTTAAGAAACAATTATTTTGTTTTGTTTGTTTTTGTTTTGTTTTTTGTTGTTTTTTTTTTTTGTTGTTGTTGTTTTTTTTTTCGCGGGAACGAAATATCAAGTCGTTCCAATGGCATAAACCTAACATGCACTATTCTTTTTTCATATAACTATTCTTTCCTTTTTATTTCGTTCTCTTTTTTGTCTCTCTAATTCGCTACTTTTACATATCCCGAAGTAACTCATTATAATGACATGCGAGAACGAGATAAAAAATCAGTGCACTTTAAAAAAACAACAAAAAAACAACAACAACATGAGTTGTTGCTGTCACCTATGGGCCACCGTTACTGTATATTTTCTTACACTATGTTATGATATAAATGAATCTTTTTTATATTAAGAATAAACAGTCATTACATTCAATGACGTCAATGTTGGAAACGTCATGTTATATTGACGTCAATAAACCTAAAAATAGGACCTGATATTGTTCCTCAATAACAATAGAAGAATGAAAACGTTTACGTCATACAACATTGTTTATTTAAAGAAAAAAGCATCGCGTGATTTTAAATAGCCTTTGTTATAATAATCAATATTCAATCAAAGAAAATATTGATATCTTTTTCTTTGGAAAAATATAGAGGAAACAAAAAATAAACTGTGCAATTGCGTCAATTTGATGATAAGAAAAACTCATCCATGTTATAAGTTAGTTTGTTGTTTTTTTTTGCAAAAGAAATAAATGATTTGATTTTATTACCTGATACCTTATATAAATGTAATTTTTATTATTTACTGTTTTCTGAAATTCTAAAAACGTCAACGTTCGCGAACTATTGACCGGTCAATAGTTTCGACTGTTTCCCTCGCGTGCTCTGACGTCATTGACGTCATAGAGGATTCCCACTTGAAGCGCCCATCGATCTTGATCATAAACAAGACGTGACCTGACATAGTTAAAATATTAACATATGAGCAAAACTATTTTCTTCTTCCTTTTTTCTACTGCAAGTACTGTTAAAACAGTAGTTGATAAGGTAATAAAACAGTTATTTCATGCGTGATTTGGGAACAGTCAAACAGTTGTCCCCCTGTGTCGGGGATAGTGTTTTGAACAACAGTTCAAAACACTACCCCATCCACTTCGGGCCAACAGTTTGACTGTTCTCAAATCACATATGAAATAACTGTATAATTACTATAATAATTATTATTATTAGTAGTATCATCATCATCATCATCATCATCATCATCATTATTATTATATACTGATTAATAAATATATAATTTAATTGATCTTATGTCTATTTTCATTTATTTATTTATTTTTATGTTTGTTTGTTTATTCATTTATTTATTTCTTTGTTTATTTTTTTAATTTATTTATTTATTCATTCATTCATTCATTCATTCATTCATTCATTCATTCATTCAATCATTCATACATTCATTCATTCATTTATTTATTTATTCATTCAATCATCATAACAGAAACAACTATGTAATTCACCTACATGTATATAGTACCGTTGTACTTTTTTGATTAACAGGAGGGCGTCATTGTCCCGATATTTTGTAGCAAAAAAACATCACCTATAAAACAACTTAAGACCAGTCACGACTTATGACAAATAAGTGTATATATCGCCACATGTATATATATTTGTATACAAACATGAGTTATTTGATACTTAAAATATACAAATACATTTCACACTGGGTACACACAAATGAAAACAAGTCCCTGACTTTGGCATGTAACTACTAAATAACCATGCGAGAAATGTACTTTTCATGTCAACATGTACAACATATTAGCGGCACAAAATCAAATAATGTCATATAACAACAAATGTACGTCAGATCCCAGACTGCTTCTAGGTGACAATTTTTAGTATATGGGAGAAGAACAAGTAACGAAATGATTTTAAAAAACTCGGCTTCGGTAGCGTTCATTCAAAAATATAGAAAGTTTAAATTTCAAAAGTGATTCTTCAGTTGTGGTATAATAAAACAATTTGAAACATTTCATGACGTGAATAAACTTTAAAGCAGCATGCATACAGATTAATGCTAATTTTTAATGAAAAATTTGAAAATGTGTTAAAAAGTTAGATATTGTGAAGTGAACAAAGAAAATAATTTTCAGATTGCAAAACAGTACTTACAACCCATGTAAATTAAAAAGACGTCAAAATATATGTAAAAAACTAACACTTTCTGCAATAACACAGTAAAAATACGGTGAAAATATTGCAAAATCTGTCACAAACCGCAAATGACATGGAAATTATTGCTTTTAACTTGACTATTTATACTTTTCTTAATAATCTCAGTACTTTTCCCTTCGAGTTTCATTTTGTTAAAGTATTTTGGCTCATCTGGAGGCATGCAGCTTTAAAGGCACATTAGACTTCAGAAATGAATACTTTAGAAATGGGAACATAATGGTGTTATAATGGATTTAAAGCGAGTTAGATGTTTATCACTTGAATATAGCAGAGCTTGAAGTCAAATAATTTTGTCACTAATGTTTGTAGCCATATGAAAACCAAGAAGTATTTCTTACTACAGAAAAAACTATGTTAAAGACCCCCTATGAGCAAAGATAATCCTGTATATAAAGAGTACTCTTAGCCAATCCTTCATTAATGAAATAGATTAAAGTTACCTCAGTATGTTTTGTTTAAAATGTTAAAATAAGCATTTGATAAACAGTGAATATCATGCAAACTTTATTAAAATATCGGAAAACTTATTTAATAAGCAGTAACTTTGTTTTAACGACAAAATACGCATTTGATAACCAGTAAAGTCTTTGTTTAAAACGTAAAAATACGCATTTGATAAGCAGTGAAGAAACATAGTTTGTTTAAAAGTCAAATTACGCATTTGATAAGCAATGAAGAAAAACACTTTGTTTGAAACGTAAAAATACAACCATTTGATAAACAGTGAAGATACAAGTTTTGTTAAAATATCAGAAAACGTATTTGATAAGCATTGAAGAAACACACTTTGTTTAAAACGTTAAAATACACATTTGATAAGCAATGAAGAAACATACTTTGTTTTAAATGTTAAAATACGAGCATTTGATAAACAGTAAAGATACAAGCTTTGTTAAAAACGTTAAAATACGCATTTGATACACACTTTATTTTAAACGTTAAAATACACATTTGATAAGCAATGAAGAAACACACTTTGTTTTAAATGTTAGAATACGAGCATTTGATAAACAGTGAAGAAACAAGCTTTGTTATAAACGTTAAAATATGCATTGATAAGCATTGAAGATATACACTTTGTTTTAAACGTCAAAATACGCATTTGATAAGCAGTGAAGAAATAGAGGATATTTGTTTAGTTCAGTGTAAGATCGGAATATATTTCACCGAGTGAGCACCAAAAGGTATATTTCACGAGTGGCGCAGCCACGAGTGAAATATGAACTTTTGGTGTTCACAAAGTGAAATATATAGAGGATATTCAAGTTTTTTCTATAAATACATGATTTATTTTCATCGAGTGGTATGAAAATAAATATTTCATGAGTGGCGGTAGCCACGAGTGAAATATGGTAATTTTCATGCCACAAGATGAAAATAAATCATGTATTTATAGAAAAAACTTGAATTTTCTGTTTATTATGTACATTTTTCTCTTTTTTGCGATAAAATTTAAAAAACTTTTCCTTAAATTTTGTGTACTGGTAGAATTTAAAAGAAAGTAGTCCGGCAAGACACCAGTGAAAATACGGAAAATATGTTTCACTGCAGTGAAAAATAAATTTTTACAGTGAAAATACGGAAAATGAAAATACGCATTTTATTTCATCAATATTTCTCAATATTTCATTTATAAGTATATAATAAATTTCGATCTTACACTAAACTAAACAAATTTTCTTTTTATTATATGCAAAGAAACGTTTTAAAAAGATTTAACCTAATACTGAATGAAAAGCGCGCCAAATAATAATATAACGTGACGTCATTTACGACGTCACGT